TCTCTCTCTACATCGCCGGTGCCTGTCAGTCAGTCACATTTGCTCAAATGTTTTTTTTTTCATGGCCACCCTAAGACAAGAAGATCACATTTCAATTCTTCAGGAACTGCCGATCGTTTTTTTGCATACTGCACAGAGCCTACGTCCTTTTTTTTACGCTCGTTTTTGTGCTTTTGAAACCTTTGGTTTTCCAGTCTGCACTACTTTATTTTGTTATCATTCGGATTTCTCATCATTTACAGACCGGGTTAACGTGTGTGTGTGTTGGTGGGGGAGTATTATGTGGGGAGCTTGTAGCGTAGCGTGTTAGTGTGCCGCACTACGAACCTGGCGACCCGAGTTCGATTCCCGATCACGGCCAACAGCAGAGACGATTATTTGAACCGGTCCTGGGCCTCCCCTAGATCGACTCGGCCTCAAATGAGTACCTGGTGCGGTGTGTAAACATCACCACTGGGGAGACAAAGACGGCCGGGCGTGGTGTTGGCCACCCACCCCCTCGCCGTGCCGTTCTTCACAGGTGCTCGCTAACAGCACTTTCCCTAACAGTCTGTTAAGGCCATACAGGGGATCTTTATCTTTTTTTTTGTGGGGGGGGGGCATTACTAGCGATGTGTATGGACTGCTGACCCTTCCGCCCTCACTGCCGCCTGTCACACTTGCATCCCAAGCACCTTGACTGATTTACAGAGCGCTGCTGATGCACGTTACCACGTAGGGTTAGCTGAGCGCACTGACATTTAATCATTAAGTTTGCTTTGTATTGCTGTGAGCGACATCCTTGCGCTTTTGGGGGATGGGGGTAAGGGGAGGGGGTGTCGGTGGGTCCTACATTGAAATCGATTGTATGACCAACGTGGTGAAGTATGGTCAAGTAACTCGTCACGCCGCATGATGTGAGGACACCCCTCAAGCGGCTGTGTGTGTGTTATATCACCTGGTCATGCGTGGAGGTTCCTCACGCGTAGCTTCCGACACTTGACGAGATCGGTCGTGTTCCTTGCGACTTGGTTTTAGGTGCGCTATGGAGTGAACTTTGCTGCCTCTCTCGCGAGACTTCCATTGTCCATGGGAAAGCTCGTTTTGGCCATCTTGGTGAAGTATGGTCAAAAAACCACCATGACCGACTGACATTGCATGGTTTGGAGGCCTTCATCCTACTGACTCAGGGCTGCTGCCACTGGAGATGATTAACTGCTCCTCCTGTACTCTTATTTGAGCAGGGAACCACAAGTGTATTTGAGCCAAAATAATACCCACCTCGACAAAATACATTAGCAGACAACGTCCCCATCATATATCCGTCTTTTCCATGGGAGTGCATAATTTGAGCAGCATTGAATCAACGCGAGCAAATCTCCTGGACCGCTTTCAACACATTTATGTAGTGTCTCATCAGCAGAGTCCAGGCTTGCTTGAATCAATACTGGCGGACTGCCAGATGTTACTGGCAAAGGACCTCTCTCTACGATACGGGGAGCCCTCATACGAAACCTCAGCTTTGAGTTCAATGGAATAGTGGCATGGGTGGAATGTCTCCCACGTTCATCCCGGCCTAGCCAGCCGACACTTTGTTTCACAATAACTCGCGCGCGTCACTAAATGCCGGAACAAATTCGGTACCAGTTTAGAAATATTTCCTGGTGAGTAATGTCGCTGCGTAGGGTTTTCGCGGTTTTGGCTGTTGTGCAGCTGAACCCTAGGAAGTGTGTTTTTTTTCGAGGGTGTTATAGCCACTTTGTCGAGCTGTCATTTGTGTACGGGCCAGGTCGCTTCTGATAAAATAAGCGAAATCGCTCGGTGGGCTTTACCTGATGAACGAAACAAAATTGTTTAGTTTTATTTGTATTTTTTTATCAAGTGATTTGTTTGCCTTTCTGAATACTTTCAACTGCTATCACGTGTTTTTTTTTTTTTACCCCGTGCACCTACTGGACATCTGTGAAAAATACCACCGTATTCCTCCAGTATAAATACGTTTTCTGATTCCGATTTTGTTCGGTGCGATGTCTGACGTTTCGCTCTGTGCCGGGAGCTTCTTCAGGAACCGAATTGCGAGGTTCACCGAGAGAGAGACACGAAAGGCGCTGATAGGGCATTTGAATGTGAGCTCTGTCACTAAACCTTGGGTAACAAAGAAATATATATTCACGCGTTCCTCTAGTCAAGGAGCATAAACTATCATCACGCAAAACTCCGGTGGTCATCCTTGTGGCAGCGGCTTTTGGCTGGCCATCGAACAAAGACGGTGGTCACCGCATTGCGCGCTTTCAGGTGCGCTTGTCGCCGTCTGGAACGCTCTGCCTTCCGATATTTGGAGCCTACTGGAGCCATGCACTTTTAAATGATCTAGATTGAAAAAGTAATTTCCTGATAACTGCTTTTTTTGTTTAGTTGTCCTTCCCCCCGCACCTCCGATTAGCACGGTTTGTTACGTACGGTGTCAAAGAAGTTCAACGTAACATACATACAACCCGTTAGTTGCTGTTTGACAGAGAGCTCTTATGCGCTGGTTACAAAGTTACTTGCCACTCCAGAGTTTAAAGGAGCATGATAATGTTTTCGCATTGACATCCTTCTCCATAGTCGGCCGACTGAAGGATTCGGCTTGGCGGAGAGTGTATTGGATTCCCCAAATGTTTCTGTTCATTAAAATTGTTAATTATATGTATATGCACCGGGCTTATTGCAGGGGTGTGTGGAGGGCAGCGCGGGAAGATTTGCTGTTGTACTCTACTTATAATACCCCCTTGCCTGTACTCGTTGACCAGCCTGTACTGGCAGGCATGGCGAAGGGTGGCCAAGTAACCCTGACGACCCGCATGGCGTGGAGAGGCCCTTATCCAGCAGTGGATTTGACTAAAGTGCCATACTTGTGCACACCATGGGGCGCAATGGTAAGCACACTGCGCTATCGTCTTGAGTTCAATTCCCAGCCACGGCTAACGTCAGTGGCAAATCCTTGGGCCCACACCCCTACTCACTCCTTCGCCAACGCGCCTTGACCAGCTTGGTGAAGTATGTTAAAAAAAACCCCTCTTGACCGACGTGGCATGGCAAGGCCTTTATCCAACGGTCGGTTGAAACGGACTGAAAATTATTGTTCGTTATTTTTATTGAGAATTTACCGCCAATGACATCATTGCAGCATACGTTTGTTTTATTGTAATCTACCACTGCTATAGTCAGCTGAGCGCCACGTGGTGTTAGGAAACGGTCCCGGAAGATGAAACCACAGAGCCACTTCTAGAGTGGCTTCACTCGGCCTTTGTCCGCCAACACGAGAGAGCGCTGTTGCATGCACTGTAAACAGTGATTTCTCATTTTTCGTAAAACACGGCATTAAAAGTCGGATTTATGATATCAGCCCGGTTACCAATCACAGAGCCGAGATCTGGTTGTGCAATTAATTTGCCCGCATGTTTATCCGCGTCTTAAGATGTAGGCGTGTCGGGTCGATTGTCACGTGGTGACCATTACCCTGGGAGGCGGGGCGAGTGGGAGCATGCTGCCTCCTGCTGTGTGTCAACGGAGAGTACTTGTAGGGTTCTCGGAGGTAGCTCTGTGGTATCCGCTTCCCTCGGCTATCTTCTTTTGAATAGATTATTCGTCTCGTGTGAGATGATGGCAATCTGGATACAGGTTTGACTTGGTGCCTTGGTCACTAAGCCTGGAAAAATAACACACTCATGCGTTTCTCCATAACTTGTTAGTTGCCGTGTGACAGAGATCGCTTATGCACTGGTTACAAACTTAGTTGCCACTCCAGAATTAAGGGAGCATGGTAATATTTTCGGATTGAGGAGTAGCGATCATCATCTGTTGACAGTCCAGAAGTCTTGTTGGTAATTTCACATTCTTATTCTGGGGACTGGTCTAGTCATAACACAAGAACTCTTTACTTTACACAATGTGGTTCTCATTTGATCTGCTTTTGAGAGATGATGATGATATTATTATTCTGGTAAAATCATAGGAATATAATGGCTTGAACTTAACTTGGTAAGATTAACATCTTTGACATGTTGACCTTTCACAACGCCAGCCGCTAATGACAATAATAATAATAATGTGGCATGGAGTGTCTAACTCGCTTCAGCATCTCAAGATACTGTCGGACGCAGCCATAATGAACATAAACAGCATACTTCAAGTCAAAATGAATAGTAAGCCAATCAAAACAAAACCATGACCTGGGCAGATTTATGGGTGGTGTGAGACACACACACCATGCCCAAGCCACCCCGAGCCACCCCACACATGAAGCAACGCTGAATGACACCGATGCATTGCAATTTTAAAAAAATCAGAATGAAACCACGAGAGAGCTCTTTTCTTGCCTGTTACAGATGGCGTGAAAAATCAATGGCCGTTTGGTTAATTTGTGCCGTTGTTTGGGTATGCCGCACCATCGCCATACGGTTGTGGATTTGTAATCATAAATAATTGTTATTTCTATATCCAGGAAAGGCACACTGAAGCCAATGACTTGGGAGGTTTTTCGGGAGAGTCCTGCCTTTCATTTTAATTTTACTAAAGGGAAGGGAGTTTCACAAAAATATAGAGTATGTAACCCACCAGAATCAGGTTAGAATCAGAATATTTATACTGGAAGAATTCCATGAGCTATAAAGCTCTTTTCCAAACCTGACCACCACAGTTGCTGGGCTCCAGGCATGTGCCACCACAGGCTTGAATGTTTGTCCATCGTAAGGCGGCTGTTAATGATCAATGAGGTGATTTTTTGAGGTGTCTGTTCGCCACTGTCAACAAAGTCCCTAACGGTTTAGTGTCATTTTGGTTTTGATAACCTGTCACCCATGTACTGCGGCTGTCAGTCTTTTTCTATTTTGACAGTTTTGCAATTGTATGCTCTAAATACTGAACTCGTGAAGACATGCAAATTTTAAATGCACATTAACACAGGTCTGCATTCATAAGCCGAGTAATTAAGTGTTTCGCTTCATCACCTAATGACCCTTTTCATTTCCTCTTTACAGGATATTTCCGCAAAATGTGAAGGAACGCAACTTGAAACTGACAAAAAATTTATTTGGTACAAGACAACGGAAACTACCGAAGGAATGTGGATTGCGTAGCAGAAATCTCTTTAAGCCAATGTGCCAAACGTGCTCTTGAAGTTTCATCCGCAAACGTTGAAGGTTCGGAATGAATTTCGCCAAGACGATCAACTCTTGCTACCCTTGCTGGGATGCTAGCCGCACAGTATCACAATGGAGCCCCGCATGCCCGTAGCCGAAAGGTTTCTTCCAGGATTTTGAATTTCCTCTTCTGGTGATGGTCGTACGTCGGGAAGGAAATACCCGAATTGTCGAGGGCAATGCGGAGGTGCCAACAAGCACTCGATCAAGAGGGAGCTCGCTGGATTTAAATGCGGACTGCACTCCCTGAAATAATGCTGCACAAAAAGAGTTTTGCATCGGTCACGAAAACTTTCGAATGACAGGCACCACCGCCCTTTTTTCCTCCGCCTGGGCGGTTAAACGCTTAAACAATCCAAGAAACAAATATTGCACAAGCAAAACGAACAAACTAACAAACAAGAAGCCGCACGTGCGCACGCAGTTGCGTGTTTTCGTGGACAAAACAAATTAACAAAATGAGTGGGCGATTGGAAGATGGCCTGACGGGCCACGCCAGAACTCGGCGGGAGCCCGCGTTGGGGCCTACCGAAGGCTCGAGGCCCGGTGACGGCTCGAGGGCCTGGGCAGGCCCTACCGCGGGCGGCGTCGAAACAGGAAACGCTTGCAAACGGTCGCACAGGGGCACCGTCAAAGTTGCATTGGTGGGAGGGCTGAGGTCGGGCGAGAAGGAAGCTGGGCTCTGCCCCACGACGGGGACGTCATCGCCGTCGGCCGGCCGGGGCCGCCACTGGTCAGAGGGTGGGCAGCGTGACGCCGATCGGCCGCACACGCTGTGCGTCTACCCCGGGGCGCTCGCCACGGACACGGTCGCCTGGCCCGTGGTCGCGACCCAAGACACGACAGCGGACGCCATCATCGAGGTGCTGACCCGCAAGCTCAGCCTGGATCCGACCAAGCGCTACGTCCTTGCAGAGGTGCCCTGATCTGTTGTTGTTGTTGTGCTGCTACACCTCCCCCCCCCCCTCGAACCCTTCCGTTCCCTGGCGTCTTTTCGTGTGTGAGTCTGCGCTTTTGAGATGTTTGTTACGTTGTGGGTGCGTTACAAACGTAACATGTTGTGTATTTTACCCCCAATTTGTATTCCATTTCTTCTATTTCAAGAACCCTATGTATGAGATATTTCCTCTTTGCTGGTGCTATTTGTTTCTGGCCGCTGGTCCTTTTGGGACTTCGGGCCTTCGCTCAGCAACCATGATAAGCTGAAGCATCCGTTCATAATCTGTGTAGAGCCGTGTGTAACGGTGTTTGTTTGACAATTGCCCCACTGAAGCAGATAAGATAGAACTGCTTCTGAAACTCATTAATAGCGATCATTTTTATTTACATTTTATGGAGGAGCACTTTTCCACGTGTTGTGCTACAGAGAGAAATGTTTGTTGCATGACGGTCAAACATTGTTCATTCTCAGAGCTTGAATTTAGTCAAACTAAGTGAAAATACAAATGTAATATTATGGGGTTTTTTGTGCAGTTATTGGTGAGCATCAACTTGCGAGGATTGAGGATGTTACCTGATCACGGGCGGCTGATACTCGGATTCCAGGATCTCAGTGGTGCCAACCGGAGGCCTTCGCGGTGCCCCCCACCAACCAATGGAGGCGGTGCTAGGTTCATCGCAATGTTAAATAAACCACTGAAATTGTTGTTGCGTTGTACTCTATATAGATTTGTGCAGCCTTTGGTGACCCCCGGTCAATTGAAAATGTGACTACTAACCTTGGTCTCGTGAGTTCTCACTTGTTTAAACAAATTAAACTTAACGAAATTAACTTGAAACATTTTGTGCTACATGCAGCAGAATCCGAATCGGGATGTTTATTTATATTGGAGGAATCCGATGAGCTGTAAAGCTCTTTTTCACAGCTGGAAAGGGCTTATATTTAAAGTATCTCGCCAGAACTACCGCAAACTGATAACATTATAAAGAAAAAAAAAGCCACAGCGTTTACAAAAAAAGACATTTTTGCAAAAATGCAAACACGTTCCGATAAATAAACCGCGCAAGATGCGCTTGCGAGCTGGGGGAGCAGTGGCACTGTGCTATGAACCTTAGCCACCTGAGCTCGATTCCTGGTCACGGCTTATGTCCGTTGCAGGTGGAGTCGACCTGGGTTGGTATATCACCTAGGTTGACTCGGCCATAAATGAGTACCTGGCAGGGGGAGGCAAAGGCGACCGGGCGTGGATACTGATCACAGCACGCCACTTGTGTGCCGCGCCGGCCTTAATAGGTGCTCGCTAATGGCAACTTGCCCCATAAGTGTGGGGGATCTTTGCTTGTGTGTGGTGCTCTTGAAATTGAGTACGAAACTGAAACTTAGTAATCAGCTCCAATATGATTTCCTTTTTAAGCGAGTCCAATTCTTTTTTTCTGTGGTTTGGAAAAAAAAAAGCACAGTTCGTTCACCACAACTAAACCACGTTTATTGATAATGATGGCATTTGAGCGTATTAGGAAGGTAGGTTTATCTAAAACCTTCACTACCCTTGCAGCTCACAATTAAACGTACCGATGTGTTTTAAATTGAAGCTATGCACTTTTAAATCTAGATTTAAAACTCATTTCTTTAGAACTGCTTTTTGTGTTCAGTTTGTTGTCCTTCCCCGCGCACCTCCGATTTGCACGGTTGGCTATGTTCAGTGTGAAAGAAGTTCAACATACATACAAGTCTGTGTTTTCCCCATTTTTTTAAAATTGCCTTTTACACTGACATTAAAACTGTGCTAACATGAAGAAACGTATTTTTCGCACTGCAACTAGTAGTGCATCACCCCATATCCGAGCATGGCCCTTGAGAATAAACCCCCACACCCGCTTATGAAGATACGTCAATATCATATACAGCATCTGTTTAATCGCACTCATAGCGCACCTCGCGTTTGTTAGTTTCCCACGCGTCAACGGATGTAATCTTAGCGCTGTGTAATAACCTTCGTTAGCTGCAAATTCTCGTTAACACTAAATAATTATTTGCGTCGTCGTGCGGAACATTAGTAACATATTAGCGAGGCAAACAATGTGTCCTTAATATATCTATCTCTCCGCATGAAAAAAACGACAAATATTTTTCATAAAACCCATCGGGCCAACGGCCTCCTGGGAGTGCATCATATCAGCAGCATTGATACGGTGCAAGCGAAATCAGGACCGGTTTCAACAGTGTCTCATCAGCAGACTCGGGCTTGCTTGAATTGCTGCTGGGGAACTGTCCGATGTAATAGGCAAGGGCCCTTTATTTAAGATGTGGGTTCTAGTTCGAAGCAAAATTATATAATCCATAACACAAAGTAATCATCATTGAAGTTTTTCTTCGATTGGTGCTGTATGGAGGCTGTACTCATTTATTTTGGATGTATGTTGAACTTCTTTCACACCGTACGTAGTCAACCATGCAAAACGGAGGTCTCTTATTTTGTTCAGGAATTCTGTAGCTCTGCTGTAAATAATGTTCAACTCGGCTTTCACAACCTTGTGCAACTTGTACTTGACTTCCTCTTGAAGAGTGGCCTTCTGGAGTCCCTTTCTCGTTTAATCCATCTTCAGTCGACTATGACTGGACTTTTCAGAAATATAAATGGCGTTTAGCAGTCAGCTAATTGATATGTCCAGTTATTTATAGATACTCTTTTGAAATAAACATATGCATGCCAAATGCATTGCAACGTGCTCATATCTACACAACATTTGCTGCTTGATTTCACAGTGCTCGTCGCACATCAATCTAACCGGAATATTTGAAATCTCAGAGCAGGCTTGTGGTGAGGACTTTGATTCAGCAGTGAATAGATCATGACCGAAGTTTACGCTGATGATTGTCAACAAACGGTGAGACGACACACACGCGCATGTGTGTGTTTGTGCGTGGAGCGGCCGTGTAGCGGTTAACGCACTGCGCTACGAACCCGGCGAGCCGAGTTCGATTCCCGCTCACGGCCAACACCGGTGACGATTATCTAATTCGGTCGTGGGCCTCCCCTAGGTCGACTCAGCCTCAAATGAGTACGAAGAAGGCCACAGCGCCGGCCTCCATAGGCACTACTCCCGAACGACACTCGCCCCCGACACTCTGTTAAAATTCTAGATTTCACTCCAGCGCTGTCCTCCAGACAGTCTCGTCCCTTCACCTGATGAAGGCCGCTTGTGTTGTGGCCGAAACGTCGTGATTTTTGTTATTTTATTTTTTACCTACGTGACTTTACCCAATAGAACCAAAGAGTATGGACTCTGTTAAAAGGCTATACGGGGGGGGGGGGGACCTTCGTCCCGGCGTCTCTCCCGCGTCGCAGGTGCGCGAGTCCGGCGGGGAGGAGTGGATCCTGGACGCGTCGGAGCGCCCCGTGCGTCGCATGATGCTGTGGCCACGATCCGCCCTCCGCGAGTACGGGCGGCGGGGCCCCGGCTCGACGGGGCGCTCCTCGACCTCGCCCACGACCACGACGCCGCCGCCGCCCCCGCTGCTCCCCGCGCAGCCGCCGCCACCGCTGTCGTCTTCGCCGCCATCGCCGCCATCGCCGCCGCCGCCGCCATCGCCGCCGACGTATTTTTCGGAGTCGCCGCCGCCGCCGCCGCCCCTTCCGCCGCTGTCGCCGCGCGTGCTCTCGTCGTCCGACTACCGCTTCCTGCTGCGCGAGCAGAACGTGGACGGCTCGATCCAATACGACAGCACGCACGCGTGGGTGCAGGTGAGCAGGGCGGCGTGCGCGATCGTGCGGGCCGCGGGCGGGGTGGGGGGGGAGGGAGGGCGGGCGGGCGGGCGCAGCGGCGACACTTGCGCCTCACGCCCAAGAGTTGCCCCGGGTTTTCGATTCCCGATTTTCGGGCCCCCGTTCCGCGTGGAGTTTGTACGTGCGTAGGTACGTACGTTGAACTTCTCTCGCACCCTACGTAGACAACAACCGCGCTTGTCGGAGGTGTGTTCTCCCCCCCCACCCCCCCCCACCCCCCCCACCCTGTTCCGCATGGGTTTCCATCAGGTAATCCAGTTTCCTCTGGTAAAAAATAAAAAAACAGTGGAAATTATATTGGCCAAAACATCCCAATACTGAAAAATTGACTCAATTTGGATTGCACACAGCAGTAACATCGCCCCCTCCGCCTGCCAAAACTTGGCTGGCTTTCGCAGAGACTTTGTGAGGCTTTCCTGGGTAAACGAGCATAATGCTAATTGGCAGCGTTTGCATTACAGCTTGTAAAGTTGCAGTGAATAAAAGTACTTAGTTATTTTGATTGACTGAACTGCAATTGATCAACCTGTAAGTGATCTTGTTTCGTACTGAAAGTACAGCAAAGTACGAGCAGAATACAGTTGTGAACTGCAAACTTGTGAGAAACTTACACAGGTATCGCTCGATTCACGACCGTTCGGTTTTTACGACATCTCGCGCCAACGCAATTGACAAATTGTGGGCGCTTTTTCGACGGACGGGATAGAATTTCCGCGTGAGCAAAGTTCCGCGACGGCACGCGCCACGAAATCGTCAAGCAAGAAGCCACCACCCCGGAAGGCTGCGTCCTCCATCCGCGAGAGTGTTACGGTGTCCCTGCAGTGACGCCTCCACGTCGCCTTTCCAGCCATTCCAATGTTCGCACATCTTTTGGTGAGTTCCGTAAACGGGTGAATTATTTTTGTTTTAAATGTATTATTCAATCAAGAAAGTGAGCCCGCTATGGTCATGTCATGAGACTAATATGGGACTTGTTTGGAAAAGCAGATTATGCGAGGCACAGTGCCTGATTCACGTGCCCAAGCAAGACCAAGGATGACACGGATAGATAACATCAAAGCATGGAAGAGGCTCACGCTGGAACAGACGATGAGGCTAGCAGAAATCAGAAGTCGGTGGCGAAAGATTGCCCTTGGTGCGGCCAACCCTCGGATCGAGGATGGCTGAAGACAAGACATTTTTATATTTGTGTTGTTTATTATTTCGTGTATTCTGAATAGTGATATAGGTGTGTGCATGTTTTAGATTGTGAGTACAGTTGGAATGACTATCCCACGGAAAAAGACATTCCGATTCGAGAAATGTCGTTTTTTGCGTGTGTTCTTTTGTAGAACTCATCCCTTTTGGTGAATCGAGGGTTATCTGTGTTGCGATAATCGTCGTAACGGACAATCGGTATCGTATCATACGGTGGAATGTGACGCAGCGGCTTGCCGATGTATGTAACGACCACGAGGCACATTGGCGTCTCGCTGTGTAGGTGGTGCTAACAAACAATACGTAAATACGATTCCTCGTATTCTTAGCTCTTTCGGTAAAGTCGCGTTGAAGGGAAACAATAAAGTAATAAAATATATATAAAACAATAAAAATTTACGACGTTTCGACCACAACGCAAACGGTCATCATCAGGTGTGAAAAAACCAACGGAAAATGTTTCTTGCCGTTGGTTTTTTCACACCTGATGGTGACCGTTTGTGTTATGGTCGAAAAGTCGTAATTTTTTATTGTTTTATATATATATTTTATTATTTTATTGTTTCCCTTCAACGTGACTTTACCGAAAGAGCTAAGAATATGAATTACTGCAGTCACGAAAGCTTTAAACGATTCCTCGTGTTTTGACGGGCGCATGAACGTTCAGCCCAGGTCGGGGGGGGGGGGTCGCCTCGGTAGGTTCACGTCGACGGTAGGTCTCTGGCTCCTCGGACACCTCGACCACCAAGGCTCGCTTCTCGATTTAAAATAAACACGTTCCTCGTCGGGCTGCCGGTAAAAAGACTTCCCTCGGCTGAAAAGTCAGCCAAGAACCCCCCACTCGCTGTGAATGTCAGAATATTTATATATACTGGAGGAATCCGATGAGCTATGAAGCTCTCTTTCACAGACGTCCAGTTGTGGTGGCTAAGAACATTACAGAAACAAACAATACCAACACACATGATAGGAGTGCATACAAGAAAGGTAAACAAATCGCCTAAACACAAACAAATATCAACTAAACCATCCCCATTCTACCAGACAAAGCCCACTGAGATATTAACTTATTTTTCATATCCAACTATAAATGTCCATCATTTGGACATTTGAAGCAATTGGCGGGACCCCGGGGTCCCATCACTACCCCGGGGTGGGAAAAACCGCGTAGCGACACGAGTCTTTGTTGCCTTACCGACAACAAAACTAGTGTCAATCGATTGGCCTCGTCGAGAGCTACTCGGGGCACTAAGTTTCGTAAAAAGTTGAAAAATTACATGAACACGTTAAATTCACTGCGGGGGCGGGCTCGCCTTGGCAAAGAAGCTGAGGGTCGACGGCTGACCGGAGGGCGACTGCGGGCGGACGCCCCCCGGGGCTTGCGTTTGGCCGGTGGGGTGGCGCCCATCGTGTTGATCGCCGCCTGCTGCTGGCGCTTGTTGGCACGAGTCTGGGCGGGCGGTGCTTTGCTGTCGTCGTCCAACTCGGCGACGAGATTGGGCGGGATGGCTGGATAGTAGTCGAGGCAATCGGCGGGGATCGAAAAGTACTTCTTGGCGAGCGACTTGAGCTTCTTCGTGGTGATGGTGCCAACAGGCGCCGTCTGCAGCACGACGGGAAGCTTTTTCTGCGCGGCTTGGCGGATCGACGTGACGCTGGGGCCGAAGAGATCGGGATCACGAGTGGGCGGACTGAAAAATAATAATTATTGACCTGATTTTTGCGGGACCCCGGGGTCCTGCCAAATGATTGATTTATAGTTGCAAAATCATCTAAATAGTTTAAAAGTGTGAGCGTGGAGCATCGTGCCACTTGGCCTGAGCCAAATGCCGAACGCTGCTCTGACGAAGGGCCATCCTGGATAACTTCATACGTAGGTTTTCACGGCCAATGCCTTGATATAAGAATTGGTTTCTTTTGGGTGAGGTTGCGTAGGTTTAATTGCAATGTCTTTCACGTGTGAGCCGAGATTTTGTGAACACCTGATGATGCTGGATGTAATGCCCAGCGAAACATTGTCAAACATTGTTAAAATGTTGCTTTTGACATTCTGATTTGCTGAAAAACCAAATAATTTGCAATATTTTTCCACGTCACAGCATGATGGTATTGGTTCCGTCCTTTGGCCGGGGGGGTTGTAGTACTTTTTTTACATTATACCTACACAATCTGACTCAAAAGAAACTAACTATGAATCGGCGGTCCTGGAATCGACTTAGTTGGGTGGTCAAGGTCGGGGTCATTTGTACGTTGGGGTCGTACGAGGCAGCGTCGACATTGTTGAAACCGATGTCAACCTACGTCACCCGGCTCCATGGGAGCGGTGTCTCGCATGCAGGCCCTGCGGTATCACCGGCGTTTGGGAGTTAAAGCGATCTGCATTGCGGGAGATTTAAAAATAAAGACAACCGCCCACCATGGTTTGATCCTTTGATTACAAAGCTCATGAAAACTAGGAACAAGGCTTGGGCATGTGCTCAGAAAAGTAATTTGGTCAATGACTGGCTAGAATACAGGATTTTAAGGAATAGATACGTCAAAAAAATACGGCATGCAAAAAATGCCTACTTTTCCTCCCACTCTCCTGGAATCACATGGAAATGCCAGGATTTTCTGGAAAATAATCAAATGTATCGAAAAGGCATCCAAAACAGACAATCTGCCCGCTGAGCTTAACCGAAATGGGGAATATTTTTCAGATCCCAAAAAATAGTTGACAATTTTAACCTTCATTTTTCTGAAGCTGGTAATCTTTTTTATAATGTATTGGGAGTCACCCCTGCTCATGCAAATTCCTACACCCTGTCCAAACATTAAACGAATTTAGTTTCCAGCCAATCCACGAAAGTGATGTTCTGAAACAAGTGTCCTACCTCAAAGGGTCCTCCTCTACCAGAGCAGATAGTATTCCCATCTTTGCTCTACTAACTGTTGGTCACCTAATATACAAACCTATAGCCCATATTTTCAACCTGTCCATCAAAGAAGCATCAGTTCCTCTAGAATGGAAACATTCCTATGTCCGTCCAATTCACAAAGGGGGCCCTAAAGATGATCCAAATAGCTACTGACCTATCTCAATTTTGTCCCCGTTGATGAAAATTTTGGAAAAATTATTGACCTACCAAATTAGCAGTTTCCTGTCCAACAATCTACTACATCTAAAACAATCTGGGTTCCGAAAAAAATACAGCACCACATCTGCTGCATTAGACTCTCTGAATCACATTTACAGTAGCCTTGATAATAAGCAGTACTCTGCCTGTGTTTTTCTAGACCTGTCCAAAGCTTTTGATACAGTAGATTACAACACCCTGCTTAGTAAACTAAGTTGCCTTGGTTTTTCCAAAAACCCAGTAAAATGGTTACAAAATTACCTCTTTTCTCGCACCCAAACTGTATTCACAGATGGTTGGAGGTCAAACAGTGTTAAGATAACAAAAGGGGTTCCACAGGGTTCCATCCTCGGTCCCCTTTTGTTCTCTCTTTATGTCAATGACTTGGGCACTGACCTGGATCATTCCAGGGTAAATCTTTTTGCAGATGACACGATACTGATTACTTCTGGCCGCTCTCCGGATGACGTGATTACTAAGCTACAGGGTGATTTCAACAAACTACAACATCAGCTAGTTGCTCTTAAACTAGTCCTGAATACCTCCAAAACGAATTTATTTTTCCCCAATTACATTCCTTAAATAATTATCAAATAGAGCAAGTCAAGATCTATAAGTAGCTTGGGGTCATCCTGGATTCAAAACTGAATTTGAAGATCACATTGATTATATTGGTAAAAAGACAAAAATAAAAATTGGTTCTCTGTATCGATACAAGCACTGCTTCCCCCCAATGTTCCGTTTGGAATTGATAAAAGCTACCATACTGCCTCTACTTGACTACTGTGACATCGTGTATATATCAGCCCCAAGTACTATACTGAAGAAGCTTGATTCCATCTATCACTTGGCCTTAAGATTTACATTGAACTGCCCATATAGGACTCACCACTGTGATTTCTACATTGGGTCAAACTTAACATCTCTTAATGTTCGACGGCTTGTGCACCAGATCTTATTTATTCACGATATACTTACAAAAAAATCCACAGACTACCTGCTGGATCTCCTCTCTATTTCAAAGAACAAATTTGACCTCAGGTCTTCGCTCATTTACCAGCTTCACATTCCATATTGCCGTACAAAAACTGGAGGAAGGGCCTTTGCTATTGGTGCCCCCAGGGTCTGGAATGCTATTGCCAATAAACTGCAACTTGAATCACTACCAATGAGATCTTCTCTCAAAACTGTTCTAGAGGAGTTGTACATCCCTAGCTGCCACTGCTATTCATTGGATGACGCTGCAAAATATCATCTGTATTTTGATTTAGCGTGCTGATCTTAAAGGTGCATTGAAAAATTTGATACTCCGACTGATGCTTCTGTTGTTGTGGAGTAACTCATGCAGCCAGCTATGGCTCTAGGATTTGGTGTTACATGTTATTTATGTAGTTTATTGTAAAAATTCGGTCACAGTCCCTGTGATCACTGTTACGTTGCAATTATGGCTTTATTTTTTGGTGATTTCGAAAAGTTTTTTGGTTTGGACATGTTTGTTTTGTTGTAGTACGGAGTTAGACTGATGGCCTTAATCTAAGTTTTCTTGTGGTGGTTGTTGTTGTTTGACTTGCATCCCACTGGGACTTTTTTTGTACACAGCGTTGGTGTACGGTGCTTTTTTCAGGAATATTTTGCTGTTTTTTTTCATGGATTTTCTGTTTGCACAGTCACATCGTCACTTTAAGATGTTTTTCTTGTTCGTGTTTTTGTTTTTTTGTTTGTTGTGGTTGCATCCGATTCAAGAGCCGAATGGCTCACAGGGCTATACCATAATAAATAAACTGAAACTGAAATAAAATGTTGGCTATGGGCGCCCATCCCTTCTCAGCTTGCCATCGCTGTTGCCACATGAAGCAACTTTTGCCAAGGCCTTGATTATATAGATTGTTATACTAATTACTAAGCCTGAATGTTTCGTGCATTTCCTTCCGGGAGAAAAGATTGACATATTATTCATACACGAGACAGGTTGCTGAAAATCTTGATTGTCATTTCTGGGGGGTGAAATGTTTGGGTCCAGGTACACACGCTAATTTGACACGGTAACACAGAGGCAGACTAAGGCTCTTGGAAGATGCATAGGTTTTCAGTGTTATTGCCTGAGCCCTAAAAGAGCCAGACTTAGGCTCTTTCACATTATTAGGTTGCAGGTCAGCCAGTGTTAAAGGGGTGATGCTGCTGCGAGAAACCACGTAGTTTATTTGTAAAAAGATAAATGTCCGTATGAAAAGGAAACAAAATTAGCTGAAAATGTTTACAATCAAGAGGCGAAAACGGAACTGTGCAGGGAGGTGTGGCCTGACACACAGACAGATATGATGGGATGGACAGCACGAGTTACTGGAAACGGAGAGAAGGAAATGGTAGTGAGTGGAAGAACAAAGATATGTTTTAGAGATGAGATAAAGGGGATTGGCAAGAGTGCAAGTGGCCAGGGGGTTGAGGATGATTGAGCCGAAAGTGTCATCGGAAAAGAGGCGCTCATCCCTTATTTCAAGAATTTTAGGAATGCTGATAAAAATTTGAGATCAATTGTGTCTGATAATGCTGCTGAGATGTTGGCTCCTGCACTTGTGTTTTTTTCTCGGTTAGACCACTGTAACTCTTTGTTTGCTGGTCTTGGTGTGGTCTTGGATTGTTGATGTTGTTTTGCTGCCTTGGCCAAGCTTGCATTTGGTCTTTAACAAATCTGCAGGAATTTATGAAACGAGCGAATTTAGTCCCCTCCATACCTGGCATTTATTTATTTATTTACTAGGGACTTGCTTCACTTTTCTCCTCTTGCATTCTTTATTTTTAGTTCTTCTTGTTGTTTTAACTTGCTAATCTCATGCCCCTTACTGGACATCTGTGAAAAAAGGGCCTTCATAGCTCATCGGATTTCTCCAGAATAAATCCAGATTCTGAATACGCTATGTCGGTTACGCCTGGTGCCAAATTCTGCAGCCGGTGCTTACTTGCAGACGTTTAGCTCGCAGCGCATTACACTCCGGTGCCTTAAATCGACGCACTGTCCTTCTGTAAACATTCCGGGTAGATTTTCAATTTCTGCTGACTGCTTAATATGGCCCGACACTGACCATCTTGGGGCTTCGATATATATTCACAGGGCGAACTGCGAGACACCCTATGCTCCAGGTCGCTGCTGATATATTATAAGCAGATTATATTGCGTTATCCTTCAATGGGCCAAGAGTCGCTGGTTACCGATATAAATATTTGTACTTGGGTTATGCGTGGCACATGACAGCTTATTTTTAGTTGCATTTTTGGTCTCCCAAGTTTCGCCCGAGGATGTTGTCTATTGCACGGAAACAAATTGCAGTGAAATTTATTTCTTGAAAAAACTAATTTTAGAACGTGTAGCGAACAAAAAGTTATAATGCAGCTTTATTTGTGACGAAACGAAAGAGCCCCTTAGAATTAAGCTTCTCCGAACTCAATCTTTTCGAATTATTTTGAAAGTTTTGCAACATCCGTTGTTAAACATTGCAAATCTTTTACTTCTGTTTTTAAAATCTGTTGCTCGTCCGTTAAAGTATTACAGTCAATAAATCATGACTCATTGCGTTTAGATGAGAGTATTTTGCTGCTATAAATTTCCACGTGATAAGCCACTAAGTTGAACTATCATTTGTGGCCAGGTTGCTTCTGAAAAGAAGCTAATATCTCAGGGAGCTTTACCTCGTAAGATAAACATAGTTTTGTTTTTCTATATCTTTTTTTAACAGTGATTTTGTTAACCTTTACTATACTGTGCACTTCAATTGTGTTTTTTATATTGTGAATTTTTGGGACTTTCTGACACCGTGCCCCGACTGAACATGTGTGAAAAAGAGCTTTAAAGCTCATCGGATTCCTCCAGTATAAATAAATATTCTGATTCCTTTATACACTACACACTGCGGGCCCTGACGCCTGACTTTCTCACCCTCCCCTCTTGCTTCTACGGTCCAACCCAATGAGTTTACCTTAAACGGTTCAGGTATTTAGGTAAGAAAATGCGGCTGACATGGGCTATGAATCAAAATATTTTTTTATTGCGGCCACGGATAGATTACGTGTTTAAAAGAGGGAAATACGTGAAAAGTAATGCTGTAGCAGGCGCGTGCTAATTATTGTTCGAGTTTCGATTCAGGATTTAATGCTAGGATCAATTATTGTTTCGCTTGTTTGTGCCGTCATTTGCAGCTTAAAGCAAATTACCCAGAGTGCACCCAATCCGATCAGATCCAAAAAGCTAAGCAGAGTTGGATGGGCGATCATCAGCAGGGAAGCAATGCAGTGACATCCATTGTTGTACTCTATCGTGTTCTCTCATCTGGGCTCCACTCGACTTGACCAACCCCACACTCACCGGTTTGGTGAAGCATGGTCAAAAAACTCCCACGATCCGCACAACGTGTGGAGGGCCTGCGTAACGAGCTGGCCGTACACGTGCATGCGTTTGTAAAAAAATGATTCTTGCACGCACACGCAAACACACAATTCAGTGCTTGTATTGTGAGCATAACAATCAATCTTCAGTCGATGAACCGGTAAAGTACCCGTTAGTTTCCTTTACATGTGCAAAACATCTGCACATGTTCGCGTGGGTAGGTGACACGGCCGAGCGAGAGAGCGTCCATCGCTTGTTGTGGAGGGGCACGGTTCAAGTTGGGCAGGCAGCCCTGGTCAATACTGTGGGTGCGACTTTAAAGTCACATGACTTCTTTCGTCTAATAACATGTATCATAATGTAATTGACGTCAAGACTGCTCTACTGTGCCACTTAATTGTAACTTTAGAGTCTTTTTTTTATTGTTCACGTAGCTTCAATCTTGTGCCTAACAGCCTGCAACACAGCCTTAAGTACGTGTCCGCAAGACAACATAAATACATAAACATGACTTAATAATTGCGTATCTTTCGATGCTTAAACGTCCAAAAACAAGAGACAGCCACAAGGTCAACCGGTGAACCCTCGGCCATGTGGCCCTGCTAGCGGAGGAAACCTCACGCTCGCCTTGTCGTTACTGGACGTTAAAAAAAAAAAAATTGAAAAAAAATATTTTCACCGAGTGGAGGAATGATTTCGGTAAACGCACGGTGACCCGCCCTCCTTTCCCGCAGAGGGCGAGGAAGGAGCGGCAGATGGTGGCGCGCGGCTTCCTGCCGCAGCGCTACCAGGATGGCGACCTCGACGACCTGTGCTACCTGCCGGAGCTCAGCGAGGCGGCCATCCTGAGCGCTCTGCGGGCTCGCTACGGCCGGGGACGCATCTACACTTACGCGGGCAGCATCCTCGTGGCCATCAACCCCTTCCGCTTCCTGCCCATCTACAACCCGCGCTTCGTGCAGGTGCGTGCGCCGCCCCCCCCTCCGCAGACGGACCGCTGCCCCCATGACGACCCCCGGTTGAACTATCGCTGAAATCCATCTGAATAAGGGGAAGATGATCTGTCGCGCCACCACCCCCCCCCTCACCAAATACGTCTTCGTTTGAGAAACGACGCAGGCATGCTGCCGTGGTGTGACACACAAAACACAAAAGGAAAGATCCCCCGTATAGCCTTAACCGACTGTTGGGGCAAGTGCTGTTAGCGAGCACTTATGAAGGCCGGCACGGCGTGGGGGGGGGGAGGGGGGGGGGGGCGGGCAACACCACGCCCGGCTGCCTTTGTCTCCCCAGCGGCGACACACCGCACCAGGTATTCATTTGAGGCTGAGTCGACCTAGGAGCGGCCCATGACCAGTTCAGATAATCGTCACTGGTGTTGGCCATGAGCGGGAATTGAACTCGGGTCGCCGGGTTCGAGCACAGTGCACTAACCACTACACCACCGCACACCACCATGTCCAGCACACTCGACTTCAAATCCAGAGTGGGAATCTATCCAAATTAAGTACAAATCCCAATGCAATGTGTTGGTATTTTTTTGGTAGATATCGGTGACCAGCCATGCTTCTGTGGTATTGTGATGAGGCCACTGGAGTTTGGAGGTCTCTGGTTCGGCCTCAGTGGTCCATGTTTCATAACACAACCCCTCGCCATCCCCCCCACCCCACTGCCTCTGTCCACCTAGCAGCGTAAATGTATTTGTCGTCGTCGATCGACAACTCGGGGTGTGGTGGATTAAAGTATTAGTGCTGCCACCTCTCCTGAAACCTCTGGCTTGCATGGAAGGATGGGAAAAATATCCTTGAGAGCAGGAGGCTCTCTTTTGCGCTCCCTCTAGTGGAGGCTCTTCCGTCTGCAGTGGCATGAGCAAGACGTTTCATGGATGCACCTTTACCTTTAGCCTGTTACGCTAATTCAAATAATTGGCAAGTTACTTTTTTGCTCAAAGGAGCTTGGGGTGGCGCTCATCTGCCGCACCTCCGATTAGCACGGCTGGCTACGTACGCTACCACAGAAGTTCAACATATACACATACATACATCTCTGTTGGTGGTTCGGGGCCGGTTGGTGGAAATTCCACATTCCTACGCCGGGTTCCAGCAAACTCTTTACGAGTGCGGCCACCTTAGACCGACTACCAACAGAGTAGCGCTCGTTCTCCCGACTGCTGTGGGGTAATTTAGAGGGTCTGCATCTCTTTTGCCGCCTCTGCCCCGCTTAACGTCGCAGCTGTACGACGGGCGGCGGCTGGGAGAGCTGGAGCCGCACATCTTCGCGGTGGCGGACGCGGCGTACCACGCGATGCTGCGCGAGAGGGTCCACCAGTGCCTCGTCATCTCCGGGGAGAGCGGCTCGGGCAAGACGCAGAGCACCAACTTCTTGATCCACCACCTGACGGCGCTGAGCCAGCGCGGCTACACGAGCGGGGTCGAGCGGACCATCCTGGGAGCCGGGCCCGTCCTCGAGGTGGGTCGGCGGTCGTCTTGTGCGGGAACGCCGTTCTCAAGGGGGGGGGGGGGGGGTGGGGGGCTGCCGTGGGCGGGCGGCGAGATTTTAACTCCCTGGTATGCAGGGAGGTCCGTGGGTTCGATCCCGACCCTGGACCGCCTGTGTATTTTGAGTTGGCGTGTCTCTCTCTGAGTTCACCTGTTTTTTTTTTTTCCTCCACATTTACAGAAATGCGTTTCGAGTGTTTGCCTGCTGGAAATTTCCAGATGAGAAGCCCACTTCTTTGAGCCAGATGAGAAGCCCACTTCTTTGAGCCAGATGACAAGCCCACTTCTTTGAGCCAGATGACAAGCCCACTTCTTTGAGCCAGATGAGAAGCCCACTTCTGTGAGCCAGATGACGAGCCCACTTCTTTGAACCGTCATTTGTGGCCAGGTGACGTCTGAAAAAGAGCTAATAGCTCTGTGGGTTTTACCTGCTAAATAAAATAGTTTCGTTTCTGAATATTTTTAGCCATTATGATGATTTATTAATGATTGTTTTGGTTATAAAAAATATCTTGATAGGATTATGGGAATATAGGTTGCAGCGAAATTGGATTATTACGGATAGGTATAACTTGTACTCTCGTGGAAGTGCATTACCCAAATAATCCCCACCCCAAGCCAACCTAGCAACGTTCTGGAAAATATCGAGTGAAAATTTAAGCCCTGCCAGTAATCCAGCCCACAACACCACCACCACTACAAATGCATTTATCATCCCTGCATACTGATGTATGACACTTGCATGATGGACTCTTTTTACGGCTGTCCGTTGATACGGGCACTGCTTATAATCTCAGCCCTAATGTCACGGACTTACCCTCGTATCCGCACGTCCAGAGAGTTTCACAATTCACAGAGCACCAGCGACAGTCTCACATAAAATGTGCGGGCCACTCTGACCGAACAGGAAGAGATGGGATTTTGAACAGAACACATGGGTGTGTGTGTGTGTGTGTGCGGCTGACAAATCTGGGCGGCCCCACTCGCTGACCAGTGCAGCATTAGTCATTGCAGCTGTGGCAGAATTTAATTTCAAAGCCAGTTTTTCTTCTTCTTTTCCAAATGGGCCAAAAAAATTTTGGAATGTAACATTTGAAGATTTATTGAGAAGGCAGTGATTTCTTAAGAATACCGCATGGAGTGTGTGGGGACGGCTCGTGTTTTAGAGCGAGCGGCTCACAATTTAAAGGTCGTGGGTTCAAATCCCAGATGAAGGTCGGGGGGGGGGGGGGGACATGGGTGCGGGGGAGGCGGGAGGGCAAGGGGGGGAGTTCACTCGGGTCCATCATCAATCTCTGGTTGATAAAATAAGAACCGCCTCGTGAAAAGTCAACGTTAGCTGCCTCTTATTGAACGTAAAAATGATGGAATTTCCACAATTAGCTCAGGGCTATGAATAAGGAGAGTAGTGCTGCCCCAATCAATGCCTGCGTGAGCAGAAAGCCACAAGTCTGAAACTTTTGAGACTATGCCATCCGCTGCGATCCGTCCACTCTTGGACGGACTTCTTTCTCCCCAAGAGCCGCTGCCGTTCCCTTATGGTCCCGTGATCCAAAAACCTTTGTAGTACCCGCACGCGAGGTGATCTCGTCGTTTCATCTCCACGGAGGATGTCCTCTCATACACGCATGCTTAGAAACGTGCGTTTTAGAATATTTGGCTGCTGATATAATTTGCAGCAGCCAGGTGGCTTCTGAAAAAAAGCTACGTAGCTCAGTGGGGCCTTACCTGGTAAAATAAAAACTTAAATTATAACAAAAACACTCCATCGTTAGTTTTGACCACCTTTAATAATTACGCGCACAAGAAAGACATGCATCTGTTTGGCTTTCTGCTCGTAAATGCTGCAATTTTGTTGTTGTTGCAAAGCTGTTCATTTTTTGGGGCCTTTTTTTTAAAGATTTCCTATCCAATTATGACATCAATTTTCTAAAGAGTTAAACTTAACCTGTCGATTTCATACGAGCCCAAAATTGAAGGGACCAAAACTTCAAAATTGCTTTTTTTTCTGCACATAAGCCGATGACGGTTTTCATTTGCAGCTTATCAAGGTGGACGAATCCAAATGACGTCCGATTTAAAAAACAACAACAGCCAAACACGCTTAAATTTTGGTCTCCCACGATTTGAGTAGGCAAACATTTTAACCTTAAATGCTTGTATCTCACCACGGTAATGTTTGTATCTGGAGGTTTTGAAGGGCGCAGAATTTGAACACCTAATAAATGGGTTTTCTCGGGTGTTTTGTGGAAGCGTGGCACTGACGCTGATATAATTCTGGCAAGCACCACTGCACCTTGTATGAGTACAGTCATGTCCAAGCAACAAGTTGAATTCACCATTCAACTCTTGACCGAGAGAATCGTGGTTTCACTGTGAATCGCATGCAGTATTATTCCATCTCCCAGTTGGAATCACGTTAGAAGGAACCCGCACCTCCGATGAGCACTGTTGGCTACGTACGGTGCGAAAGAAGTTCAACGTGCATACATTGTCAAATTTTGCATTTACTTCGTAGGTAAACACACGCAGTTGGCTAACTCGCATACATTGATATAACTGGACTGATGGAAATTTTGGTCTTTGAGACAACAGTGAGAGAGAGAGAGGCTCGGAGTTGGGCAGTTGCCCATAGTCATGGAGAATGTGTGGAATTACAGGCATGCACATCTCAACTTGTATGCAAGGAGTCCCGTGAGATGCAGGAGATGAAGATGTGTTGTTGCCAATGATTCATGCGTACTTGCCACAAGACATTTGTGGAATTTTTTTGTTGCCAGCTCTGAGCAAATTTTATTCACGCACGTGCTGCACTTAAGGTTCACAGTGGTGGACGTGGATTGGAAAGTTGCGCAACAATGTAATTGGATTACTCGAGGCAGGTGCCAGTAATCCATACGCATTCTTTGGGTCTTTCGGTAAAGTCACGTAGATAGGTTCAAAGAAAATAACAAAAAACTACGACGTTTCGATCACAACACAAGCGGTCGTCATCAGGATAAGGGGGTTAGCTTCTAAAGGCAAACTGTTTATAAAGGTTTAAAATGGGCGTAGCCCAAATGTCAGCAGCATGGGCGGGGCAGCTAATGTTAATGTAAGTGGTGGACGGCGACCGTGATGGCGGTGGGTTTGCACCAATTAAAGGGCTGCCAGGTAAAAAATGTGCATGTTAATGTGAGATCGGTGAGCGGCCTCCACGGCGAGCGTGCTGAGGTGGCTATGTTAATGTGAGAGATTAGCATGTTAATGTGAGATTGCAGAGTCACCGCCACGTTGAGGTCGGAGCACGAAGGTAGCTGTGTTGGTCTGAGAAAATAACAACTAACATCGGAAGGTGGCAGGATGGGAACATCACAGCCAGTTATGACTTAAACTGGTTGATAACATCCTTCCAATGATTGCCTAGTTTTTACCCATCTTCTCGGTTGAAATTGTGTCTGTATATATGGAGAAATATATGGAGAAATAAATTTCGTGTGAGCCCACCGCATTAAAACGAATTCGAAATTGTAGATGGTGCTCTGCACCTACACCATCATCAGCTAGCCGTACGACAAGAAGAGGATTGTTGTTGCTGTTTTCAGTAAAGTACGCGTAGCTCCAGGGGTTCATAATGGCCGTGTCAAGAGTCATGAAGCTGTCACCCCTGACTTGATTCCAGGTTTTGGCCGCTTTATGATTAAACTTGGTTCTCCAAACATAGCAAGCTGATGGTCTGTGTTCGGTCACTAAGAATTTGATTTATTGGCTGAATTTCTGTAAACTGATGGATGTGGTGGTTAGTATTGTGAACCCAGCTACATGACGTTTGATTCCTAGCCACGGCTAACATTAGTGGCGAGTGCCCCCACCCCATCCTCCAACCCCCACTCAATAGAATGGTCAAGTATGGTGATAAACCCCCTTTGACTGACATGGCATGGAAAAGGGGCTTCATGCACCAGTGCATTGACAAATGGCTAAACGTAATAGTATTACTTAAATTGTTTCCTGTAAGTACTGGGGAAAAGGAACGATGAGAGGTAATTACAAATTAGAGCCGTGCGAACGAACACCGACAGGACGGTCCCTGGCATCAGCACAGCACAAAGAGAAGTGAGGTGACCTGCAGGGTAGTGGTTGAACGCGGCGTAGAAGGAGGCATGCCAGCACTCCAGAGCGCCGAGGGTGACGCAGTTCAGCGACTAACTGACCTCCAAATTTAACATCTAATTGTTGCTCGACGTCAGCCATTTGAAAGCGTGTAACGAGACGAAACAGTCAACCCGGTTCAATTCCTCCACTCGCGTTGTTGTTGTACTGTACTTGGTGGGAACGGTAACCGCGCTCGCTTGTGATAGCGAAGCGATAAGGAGGTGATGCCTTGCTGTGTGACGAACACTCGCAACAGGGCAGTTTGTAAACCGCTGCTGTGCACGGTGGTGTATAAAGAAGAGCCCTACTACCTTTGGCAAGACTCCTGTTGAAGGAGAGCGGTGTGTGTGAACGAGCGGCTAGCACGTTGCACTACGAACTCAGGGACCCGAGTTCAATTCTCGCTCACGGCCTCCCCTAGGTCAACTCGGCCTTTAATGAGTACCTGGTGCTGTGTGTAAACACCGCCACTCGGGAGACTAAGGCAAGCCAGGCGTGGTGCTGGCCACCCCACACCCCACCTTCGTGTGTGTCGTGCCGGCGTTCATAGGTGCCACTCGCTTAATAGGCTACACGGGGGTGGTGGAGGGGGGGGGGGTGTCTTTGTCTTTGTGCGACGTTGCTTTCCAAGGCTGTTGCCTCATACCGGTGGTGTCGAAATTCTCACGTGCGGCCATTGCAGGGCGTTCGGGTGATCGCGTGCCGGCCGGCTGGCTGGCTGGCTGGTGGTGCCTGGAACTGGAGAGTGGCGGCGGTGTTATTTTATTATTATTATTGTTTCAAATAAAATAAAAAAAATTCCGCGGGCATCTGTTGCATCGTGATAACGCGTCGTTGTAGGGAAGTGGTCGTCGGGTTCCAGATTTCTTACGCTTTCCTCATGGCCTGCTGCCCGCTTGTGGTTTCTCTTAAAACGACCCTGGAGGCTTGTTCTATACGCACGTGTTCATGTGACACACTCCGCATCGTTCGTGCGTGCGTGCGTATACACGCACACGTATAAGGTGGCGCGGTCAACGTCTGGCCCTTTTGTCACTCTACTGCTGGATGAGGGCCTCCCGGCGATTCGCATGTGGATTTACGGTCAAACGTGTGTGACCGTACTTCACCGCGCTTTTTCAGCGCGGGTTGCTGAAGGCAGGGTGCACAGATGTGGGGGGAATAGAAGTACAGTACAACAACGGATTCTCCTGCACTATTGCCTCCCGCCCACCAGGAAGCCCGGCAAGCCCTGCGACGACCTGTTATGTGCAGAGTAGCACAAGCTGCTGCCCCCTTTACAAGAGACGAGGGTCACCCATTCAGCCAGAGATAGCCCTCCATTGTGCCAGTCCACTGCTGGATGAGGGCCTCCTGCACGCCGTGCGTTTCATGGTGGGGGGGGGTCGGGGGGAGGCTTTACTTGAACATACTTCGCCACGCCGGTTAGTGCGGATTGGTGAATAGATGTAGAAGCATAGAAGTACAGTCAAGCATTTTGCAATGCTACCATCCGCTGCCCGCAACGTAACATGGCTCCGTCGCCACCTACGACAGTTTAGCGTGCATGGTGATCGCCCATCCAAGTGTTCTTCACTGAGCCACACATTTGACTTGGAGGCAACAAGTTTAATACATTACAGGGCCAACTACATAAACGGACACACGTTAACTAGGCCCCAACAGAATAACTACATAACCGGGTCAGTCGGTAACATCCTGACTGACCCACGATGTCGAGTGGAGACCGAAGATTGGAGAGACGTAGCGCCGAGGGTTAATTCCAGATAACAGCCCCGATCGGGACTCGGCCTTTATGGGCCGCGGCTCCGCCCTTGGCCACGCCCCCTTCCAGATCCTTCCCGAAGACCGTGGCCCCTACATCACGTGTCCCTCTCTCGCCCTTTTGGGCCCCCCTTGCCACCTCGTCCGGTCACGTGCCCTCTCGGAGTCACCCAGATTGTCATGTCCTCACTCGACCTCTCTCTCACTGTCACCAGGACTATGCCCCCTAGGGCCCGCTTCCATGGCATGCCCACTCTGGTGCCCGAGAGAGGCCCAAGACACACAGCTCCACTCTTGACAATAGCTGGCGCTAAACGCCATAGTGACCCCATTTGTGTCACTACACAAGTATTATCCAGGCTCAGCCCCAGCTTAGATCTTATTTCCCTTATTCATAAGCAAGGTTGGCAATCGTGATGGCTTAACGTAAGGCACTAGTACCCAGGCGTTTACATTACTTCGATTGTTTAGCTGCTATGCATTTCCACATGATAAGCCACGTCGTTGAGCTATCATTTGTGGCCAGGTCGCTTCTGAAAAAAGAAGCTAATAGCTCAGTGGGCCTTAGCTGGTAAAATAAAAATAGTTTAGTTTTTTTATTATTATTTGCTTACCTTTCCTTTACTTGGAACTCCTATCGTGTTTTAAATTGTAAGTAGTTGTAACTTCCTGACTCTGACTGGAAATCTGTGAGAAGAAAAAAAAAACCTTTTATAGCTCATTGGATTCCTCCTGCAGTATAAATAAAGATTCTGATTCTCATTCTCAACTCGCTCGCTACACTTGGGAACCCGGTGTGACCACGGTTGGGCCGCTGAAACCGATTCAAACCCAGGATCTTAGCGGCGACCGCTCGGTGTCTCCGACGTGGTCACAATCCCTCTGAGCCAGCCGGCCACCCATCGACACCAAAATCACCGACTCCACGCTCATCAACACACGGGCGCTTGCGACCCCTGTGTGTGGTGGACTGTGAACGTGAAATCCAGCCTCCCCCCCCCCCCCTGGTCACCCAATCATGATCATCATCGCTTGCCGTAATCCACCCTCCCCCCCCCGAGCTTATATTTCGGCTGCCCCACTTCACACTTTTGTTTGCTCTTGCCAGGCCCGGATACTGACACTTGAAATGTTACTGTAGTGCTTGTACGATCGGCCATAGATACGCGTGCCTCTTCCTACGGTCATAATGGGGTGTGACGGGTAGGTCCGTCGATTGTAAGTGGATTTCAAGTAACTTGCAGCCGTTCTCCAGCAAGCCACTGTTGGATGAAGGCCCTCCCCATTTGCCGTGTCAGTACCTGGAGTTTAGTTTAGAATCAGCATTGCGCGTTTAGAGTGTTTGGCGGCTCTAAATGTCTCTTGATAAGCCACTTCGTTGAACGATGATTTGTGGCCAGGTCGCTTCTGAAAAAGAGCTATATAGCTCAGTGGGCCTTACCTGGTAAAATAAAAAATAGTTACGTTTTTTAGTTTACTGTACAGTTGAAGGAGAGAAGGGCAATACCAGTTCAGATTTCACTCGCCACTGATGTTAGCCGTGGCTGGGAGTTGAAACTCGGTGCGCTAATCGCGATACCACCATTCTGGCATGGTGCTTAATAGAATGCAATCGATATTCATGCTTGCGATACGTGCGTTTGATTGCTCCTGTTGAAATTGATTGTTTACAGTTAATGGGAATTATGTGGGAGGGAGTAATGCTGAAGTGGCACTGTGCTGTGAATCGGGCGACCTTAGTTCAATCCCTGGCCACTGCTAACATCAGTGGCGAGTGACATCTGAACTGCTGGTCCTGACCTCCCGCTCCTTCACTAACCTGTGCCGACAAGAGTGCTTAAGCATGGTCGAACAACCTCCGCAACTAACACAGCGTGGGGGGGGAAGGCCTTCATCCAGCAGTGGATTGGCAAAGGCCTGTGTAAATATGCATTCAAATCGTAAAATGTTACCTTGAAAATAATGGAGCAAACAAAATTAGAAAGATACAAATTAGCCGACAGATGAAAAAAAAAATGAGAGTCGGTAAAAATGTGACGAGAAAGAATTGGTTCTTGAATCAAAGTGCAACCCCCGAATCCTGACAATTCTTCGGAAACTCTGGTGCAGTGTGAAAAACGTTGACATTGGAAAGACAAAGGTGGCCAGGCGTGACGCTAGCCACGCCCACCCCCTCGTGTGCCGTGTCGCCCTTAACCCTTTCCTGTTCTGCAAGTAGCACCGCCGAATCTCGGAACACTCCAGCGGTCAACGTTCATTTTATTTAGAGAGGCACATCGCCGTTGTCTTTAAAAACATTGCACTCACCGCCAGGGCCGGATTTAAGATTTAGTAGGCCACTGGGCTACGGGTACTGTGAGGCCCCCAGTAATATTTTCAAAAAGTTCAGCAAAGTTAAAGAAAAATCAAATTATTTTTTACAAGGCTAACAACAAATAAAATTCAGCATTCACAAGTGAAATAACTTTTCACTTTATCTGTGGAGGCCCCTCCAGCTGGCAGAGGCCCCCTGGGCTGCAGCCCCCTAAAGCCCCCCGTGCCTTGATCCGGCCCTGCTCACCGCAGAGAGCTGTCGTGGTGCGGCCACACTCGATGATAGCTGCCACCCACCTGTGCCAAACGCTGTCCCGCATAGCCTTTCCGTTCCAATGAGGTACACGTATGTCATCGGAATGGGAAATAATTAATCGGCGCTCTCAAGCAGTATTTTTCCCCGTGCGGTCTCTGAGAGACTAACAGCGTGGAAGCTGTTGGGTGTGCAGGTGGTGCAACTGCACTGGGTCCCACGGCAGGGGAAATTTAGGACACAGCCCCCCCCATTTCACCATATCATGCCTTGCACCAGGGCCCATGCCAACCACGCTAAACCACTGAAAGCTAATCGGCGCGACTGTGCCGTGCGGGTGTGTTTGTGTGCACTGATGACACAGGCGTTCGGGAACGCAAAGACCGCTCACAACGACAACTCCAGCCGCTTCGGAAAATTCATCCAAGTCAACTACAGAGAGAATGGAACCGTGCGCGGGTACGTTACCCCCACCCACACCCCTCCCTACTCCTCCTCCTCCTCCCCTCCATCCGTCTAGTTGAGAGAGTTAGGCTTGGATATTCAAATGTGTTTTGCGTGACCTCCCCCTGTATGCCACTAGAGCTGGCTGCAGTCACCACAAATTCATCCACTTGTGACCCGAAACTCGACCGCTGAATCGCAGTCAATTCGTGGAATTGGCGGGGGGGGGCGGGTAGGGCGGTAGGAGGTGTGGGACAGGGGGGTGGGTGGTGGTTGTGGAATCTCCGATGGGCCTGTGCACAAAATGTAAACAGATATCACGTACGGCCTCGTTAAAAATTGTGGGCATTCACGAATGACAGTTGTAAATGTTTTAGTGGGTTTTACTCTGCAACACACCGGGTGTGCTGAACTAGTAACCAATCGGCACGTTTTGTTTCCGCGACGAACCACACTAATTGGCCGTGTCGGGCGGTGACGGGTTTTAAACGACGCATTTATACTTACGTGATCTAACCCAAAAAAATCCCCTCTATTGCGAATGATAAACCTCGTTACTGTGCTGCATCGAACGAGCCCCACCAGGAGAGAGCCCTTGTGTCGTGTGAGTGCACCAGTCAACCGAGTGACATCTGCATAAGGGGCCACACTCTAATGATGAGGCAGAATTTTGATTTAAAGCTTTCGTGACTGCAGTAATTCATATTCTTAGCTCTTTCGGTAAAGTCACGTTGAAGGGAAACAATAAAATAATAAAATATATATAAAACAATAAAAAATTCTCACACCGTTTGTGTTATGGTCGAAACGTCGTGAGAATTTTTATTGTTTTTATATATATTTTATTATTTTATTGTTTCCCTTCAACGTGACTTTACCGAAAGAGAATATAAAGATGAGGCAGAAGTCGACACCAGTCCAGGATTTCCCAACTGCAACGAATTCGGCTCCAAGAACATTGGTCCAGAAGACAAATATGCCAATGGCCCTAAGCATGTTTCCTTTTTTATTCTTGGCAATGAAGGGCACACACCCACACGCATTTATTTATTTATTTGTGCTATACAACAAGAATTGGTTGTGGGGTGGTAGCCCATCAGCTTAGCGGATTGCACTTTTAACCCTGCGACATGCGTTCAATTCCCGGCACGGATGACCTCAGTGGTTAGCGGTATCTTAATTCCTTTGTCAAGGCGCTTTGTTTCTTCTCACACAGCTTAAACGTCGTGATCTGAGCGTGGCTTTTTCGCTCCAGCGCTGTCCTCCAGACAGTCTCGTCCCTTCACCTGATGAAGGCCGCTTGTGTTGTGGCCGAAACGTCGTGAGAATTTTATTGTGTTATTTTATTTTATCAATTTATTATTTTATTCTCATTCTACGTGACTTTACCGAAAGAACCAAAGAAGATCTTAACTAGTCTTGAGCCCCTCCCCCCCTCACCTTCGCCAATCCACCCTGGTTAGCTTCGTAAAGCCAAACTGTTCCCAGCAGCACGCGGAGGGCTTCACCCATCAGTGGATTGACGCTGGGCTGTAAAAAAAAAATCCACATGAACGGCATTAACCCCGCCGCATTTGTCCACGTCGATTCATCGATGCCCTCCGCAAATTGTACAATCGCCGTTGCTACGTAACGTGTCTGTCGCCGGGAAGGCGATCGACCTTTCCGAGATCACGCCCGACGTTGTGGTGGTCTCCGGCGATTTTTCTCGCGTGACGAGGCCCCCCCCCACCCCCCCTTCTACTAAACGGTTCCTCTTGAGCGAGCCCCTCGGCGTGCGTCCTCCTGCCCCTCGCTCAGCTGCCCCCGGAGCGAGTTAGTGGCAATCACAGCCAATTTGCCAGCTGGGACGCGGCGGTCGTTATCGAGTTAACTCGTGATTTATGGAATGTGTCTTGAGAGCGGCGGCGGCTGAGGTAATGGATAAGGGTTAATTCAAGGTTATGAAAATGATAATTTACAACCCTCTTTTGTCAATCCACTGCTGGTTTAAGGCTTTCCCCCCCCCCCCCATGCAGTGTCAGTCACAGGGTTTTGGCTGGCTGGTGCGGTTTGGTGTTGGTGTTGGGGGACCAGCTCAGACTTCAGTCGCCACTGCCGTTAGCCGTGGCCCGGAATCAGATTCAGGCCACCGGGTTCATAGGGCAGCGTGCAAATCCGCTGCACCACCGCTCTCCCCAAGGCTATAACAGAAAAGAACAAGAATGTAAACGTAGATGGACAAAGACAAAGATCACCCGTATAGCATTCACAGACTGTAGGACCAAGTGCTGTTCACGAGCAGCACCTATGTAGGCCGGCACAGCACACGAGGGGGTGGGTGTCCAGCACCATGCCCAGTCGCCTTTGTCTTCCAAGTGGCGATCTTTACAAATCGCACCAGGTACCTCTTTGAGGCTGAGTCGACCTAGGGGAGGCCCAGGATGAGTTCAGATAATCGTCACTGGTGTTAGTGACCATGAGCGAGAATTGAACTCTGGTCGCCGGGTTCATAGTGCAGCGCGCTAACTGCCACACGACCGCTCCCCACATGCACACAACACACACTCAAACTCATAAAATATTAATAACAACAACTCATGTAACCATGGGGCTAAGATGTTGCGCTGCTAATCTGAGTGTTGCTATACTCAAGACATGACAAATCCATACACACTGCCCATCAATATACACAAACATGCGCAGAGCAAACCGCATGCATGCTAATACAGTTTAATGATCCTCCTGTGACCCTTGAGAGCTTTCCGGGTCAAGTGTGGTTAGCAAACCCTCTCTCTCTCAAGGGACAAATTACGTCAAGCGCATTTAAGCAGCTGGAGCCTCTAATTGAATTAAAACTGCCCCCCTCCTCGAAGCTAATGATTGGCAGAATTAATGCTGAGGTGAGTCTTGCAAACCCCCCTTCCATGTGCTATAACCGCATTAGGTTTAATTGTTGTTGACAGAGTCTTGTATGGTCTGTCTGCACGACACAATGTGGATTTACAGGGCGGCTAAATGCGAGCTGCATATATCTCCCGAGGCTGTGCAGATTACGGGGTGCACAGTTTCATCGTGGGGAAGAGCACTCCGTCATTGGCTCGCACCGTAGACTTTCACAAGAGGTCCGTAGACCTGCGTGAGAAAAACAATTGCATTGAGCCACACAGGGACCCACACCTCCCATTAGCACGGTCGGCTATGTACGGTGCGAAATAAGTTATACATGCAGACGTACGACACCATAGACTTACATAGGTGACCACTATGCGTATTATCTCATGGAAGGGTTTTGCCGTTAAGTCACAAATACAACAACCATGTTAAGATGCCGAAGGTTTAACCACTCCCCATGCAAGACAAGTCATCGATGATGGCTGAGAACCTTAAACTGAAATAAAAATACATACTCGATACAACAGCTGTGCTACCACTGCACCCCCAACCAGCACCCACCCCCCAATCCCCCCCGCCCCCCACCTTAATTGTCATTCGTTTTGCTTGTCCAATTTTCTCGGTGACAGAGCCATAATGGAGAAATACCTGCTGGAAAAGTCGCGCCTCGTGTCGCAGGAGAAGAACGAAAGGTTTGGCGGATCACGTTTGGCAGTGGATGTTGCCGCGGTGTAACGGTCGGCGCGGCTGGGCTCGCATCGAGGAGGCCGCCGGATCGATCTCCCGGCGCGGCGTAATGAAAACTACGGCGCGAGTTTTCTCGAATCCCAAATCCGCCTCTGTCCCACCCAGCGGTGTAAAGTGGTCGACGCGACCGATAGTCGATCGGCAGGTCTCGTGCGGTGCGCTAAAGTGTGGGTACTGCCACCTCTTCCGAAAAGTATGACCAGCGTGGAAGAGTAGGCCAAATACCCGCTTAGAGAGCGGCTTTCTTAAGATGCTTCGAGTTGTTGGAGGACCTTCGGTCAGCAGTGTGTCGTCAGCAAGACATTGCACGGCTGCACCTTGAACATTTATATAGGTTTTAAAAGCTGAAACATTCGTCATTGTATCATTCATTGTGCTCCTGAGCCAGCGGTGGAAATTCTACATTCCCATGGCAGGGCCCAGTGTGTCCATGGATGACCACTGTTAACTTCCTGTAGTGGTGGTACTTGTTTTATCCATGATGGTGATGTTAACGATAGGCTGAGTCGACTCCCTATTGGGATTGGAACTCGCATACTAATTGTGTGAGTAAAGCACTATAGCCACAGTGCCACTTACCTGGATTTAGCTATCCTTGAGAAAGCCGAATAGCCTCGTATATGAACTTGGCCTGGGGTTCCTCTAGGTCGACTCAGTCTAAAATGAGTACCTATTGTAGTGTGTAAATATCCGCACTGCGGAGGCGAAGGCGGTCGGGCGCGGTGCTGCCGGCTACCCACCAAGATCGTACACCGTGCCGGCCTTAATAGGTGCTTGCTAATGGCACTTGCCCCGGCAGTCTGTCAAAAGGCTATACGGGGGATGTTTGGATTCGTGTGCGTTGCATGTCCTGCACATTTAATGCGAGTGTTGTTTTGGTCTCCACGCATTCTCAGGAATTACCACGTGTTCTACTATCTGTTGGAGGGCACAACCGAGGAGGAGAAGGAATTATTACACCTCCTGCCGCCACCGCATTACAACTACCTCAACCAGGTGAGACACATTGGCCCTGGCACACGCAACCATCGTCATCAGCCATGATCTATTCACCGCCTGCATACCAGGCCAGACGGTTGACATATCGCGACTGTAGCGCCCGTCACGTCTGATTATTGAAGTTTTTTTGTGTTCGTTATGTATAAGGCAAAGCAGACTGTTCAGCATAAACTCACTCTTTGTAAGTGGGGAAACATTTCCTGGCTGATGCTTAGCTCCCTCTAACTGTGAAGTGAGGTTCTTGTTAATTGTAACGAGATCAGGTTGCATTTAGACGCTTGGAATTCCAACTGTTGTTATAAATGTGGCCTGGTTCAGTGGCACGGCGGGCAGATCACTTGACTCACAATCAGCACGTCGTGAGGTTGATTCCTTGCGAGGGATCAACATGGCCCGTCATCCATAATAGAAGTTTTTTGGGTTGGATCGTGTTTAAATATATAAATGTGTCGTTAAAACCCGCCACCACCCGACACAGCCAACTAGTAAGGGTTGTCACGTAAACAGAACGTGGCCAATTCGTCACTAGTACAGCACACCGGTGTGTTGGAGAGCCAAGCCACAACATTTACAATCTTGAGTACAACGTTTTGCCAGTAATTACAACTAGCTTCATCAGGCAACAGCCAGATTTGTGGAGAAGTCAAAACTGTTTCATTCCTTATATAGAGGAGGCGTATATGTGGTGACCACGGTTCTGGGCTCTTGCTGAAAGTGGGGGGCCACCCACCACAGGGACCATTCCTCATATGATGAGCCAAGAATGTATGTGTGTAACGTGCGTGACGTCACACCACGTTGACCAGCCCCCCTCATTAATAATCATGAGCAGGTGGGGTCCTCCACATGGACCCCCCCCCCACCCCGTCATTAATAATCAAGAACGGGTGACGTCACTCCGCATGAAGAAGGTGGAGCGGAAAACTAAAGAAAAGAGCAATTCTGGCAGTGACCAACAAGGACACTCGAACAGAAACATCATCACACAGATGTCCGGAGATATCCAAAATTATTACAGCTCTGACTCGATCGTGTCGGTAGATCCTGCGGACGCATTTCATTACCCTCCAGAATTTCTTCACGCTCAAACGCCTTCAGGAATGCCGCCACACACATTGGCACAGAAGACGGGCGTTATCATCATGCTGCTGCGAAATCTTTACCCGAAGAATGGCCTTTGCTATGGAACGCGTTTGATGGTCAAATCATTACAAAATGAATCTTGACTTAAAGCTTTCGTGACTGCAGGAATTGATATTCTTTGGATCTTTCGGTAAAGTCACGTAGATGGTTCAAAGTAAATAACAAAAAGCTACGACGTTTCGATCACAACACAATTGATCGTCATCAGGAGGAAAGAGGAGAAAAGCTGCTGAATGCAGACTGTTTTTTTATAGGGTGTAGTCCTAGGCTCATAAACGAAGTGGGCGGGGCTAGTGATGTATGTTGAACTTCTTTCGCACCGTACGTAGCCAACCGTGCTCATCGGAGGTGCGGGGCGTTGTGTATGTGTAGCGGTTAGCGCTACGAACCCGGCCACCCGACTTCGATTCCCGCCTACGGCCAACACCAGTAACGATTATCTGAACGAGTCCTGGGCCCGCCTCCCTTAGGTCGACTCAGTCTCAATTGTGTATCTGGTGCGATGTGTATAACATCACCACAAGGGAGACAAAGGCAGCCGGGCGTGGTGTTGGCCATCCACCCCCCCCACCTCCTCTGTCATGCCGGGCTGGTGCTCGTCAACAGGTTTTGTGCAAACAGTCTGTTAAGGCTATATGGGGGATCTTTGTCTTCGTGTGTGTACACTCGTGTGTGTGTGTCCCATCATTTGTATGCGTATGCCGCTTATGTGTGTTTCCATATGTGTGTGTATGTTTGTCATCATCCACATTAAGTCAATGAGAAAATCCATCTCTCAAGAGTGGGATTGCTCCGAGCCTCCAACAGAGGTCAGTTTTAATGTATGGAACCATTTCACACTCACCGTCATGTAATTTCTGTGTATGCATCTGTCCTCCAAACGATTGCGAGTTTCGAGAACATGCAAGTCACATTGCCTGTTTGCTTCTTATTCATCTGGGGGACACTCGTCTCCATGTTTCTGTCGGCCGTCCTGAGCCAATGGTGGAAATTCCACAATCCTATGGAAGGGGATAGTCTGTGCTCTCGAGAGGGGATAGTCTTTCCTAAAAACATGTCCACTGTTCTTGCGAGATGAATTGTCCATTCGTCATATCTCTTACAGAGCAGTGCAACCCTTTGAGTTAGTGAATGGCCCACAGAAGTTGAAAACATAGAACTACATCTTAGATGCCTTCAAGTGGACTCTGTTCCACACAGTAGGCGGAATAACTTTCCTACCAACGCTGCCACTGACAGGATTACAATAAAGCCGATGTGTTAAATTTTTAGAGCTGGAAATGACCAAACATAGTGCGAAACTCGATTTAATCTGATGGTTTTGGTTTATGCATCCATTGGTAACTGGGCTGAGACTATCAATTCACGACACTTCAGAAGCCAATTTAATCACATGCGGCTCAAAACTGGATTCGAACTCAGAATTTCATTGGTGCCAGCTCAGCGCTCTGACCTTTGAGTCACTCGGCCACTTCTAAACTCGTGATTATAGGCCAAGTGTTCTAATCAAACCAACAATGGGCAGACATTCAACTTTATTCCTCGTGTGCCAATATAGCCGCTCGTAATGTGATTCGTCATGTTGAGCACAATCCAGCGTTGTCGTGTGCAATCGCATTCTTTTGCTAACCGGCCAATCACTATTGAAACGTATTCTTTGCCTACTACCATATCCCTATGCAATGTAGCTCGGTGGTATTGGGCTTGGCTCTGAACAATCTAATGTAATTGTTTGACTACACAATGCACCTGCCTTCATCCTCAGACTGACATCAACCGAGTGGAGGGGGAAGACTTGAAGCACGACTTTGAGAGACTCAAGCTGGCAATGGAAATGGTCGGGTTCCTTCCCAAGACTCGCATGCAGTGAGTGAACATAAATCCACCAGCGTAGACTCCGGTTATCCTCGCAGCAGCGACTTTTGGCTTGCCCTCGAACGAAGACGGTTGCCGTATAACGCGCTTTCGGATGCGCTTCTGCGACCGTCTGGAACGCACTTTTTTTCCAATGTTAGGAAGCCTCTGGAGCTACACACTTTCAAATCTAGATTGACAAACGAATTTCTTTAGAACTGCTTTTTGTGTTTAGTTTGTTGTCCTTTCCCCGCTCCTCCGATTAGCACCATTGGCTACATATAGTGCGAAAGATGTTCAATATTCATAGATGCATAAACTAGCCCTGTCTCTTGCCCGGACAATTGCTTTTACATTGGCTCATACCCCAAACCCAGCCCTAGTTATAACCCTCACCCTAGCTGTAACTCCAGCCCTGACGCTAACCCTTTTACAGATCCTAACCACTAATCTTAGCCCTGAAATAAACATAGCCCTAGCACTAACCCTGATCCTACCTTTAACCAATACCGTTACCCTCACTCGAGTCTTGATTCTAATCCAACCAGTCTTAACTGGAACCCTACCTCTAATGCCGAGCATAGTCCTAGCCCTATCCCTCACCTTGACTTTGAGTCTAGACCTGGCTCTAACCCAAACCTTAACTCTAGTCCTGACAATAACCCTATTCCTCATTGTAACTAGGTCTAATCCAAGGCTGGCACTGACCCTAACTACGAACTGTAACCCCGACACTCTCTTGAGTGCGTATGCACTCAGGTTTGTTGGTGAGCGTGTGTCCGTGTTTGTGTGTGTGTGCCTTTATGCATGTGTGGGAAAGCCGTGGTGCAGTGATTCCCATCCATATATAACATCAGCAACGAGTGATATCAGTTTAACTAGTTTAACTCAATCTTGGTGCAGTGTGGAAACATCGCCACTCGGGAGATAAAGGCAGCCGGGTGTGGTGTTAGCCGCACCACCATGTCGTGCGGCATGCTGGCTTTCATAGTTGCTCTCGAAGAACCCTTGTCCCAACAGTCTGTGGAAGCTACACGGGGCGTCTTTGTCTTTGTGTGTGTGTAGGATTTTCACGGTCCTCTCTGCCGTCCTGAGTTTGGGAAACGTGTCGTTTCGCGGGAAGACGTGTCGGGATGACACGGTGGAGGTGGAATTGGGGATCGCCATTTCCACCGTGTCCGAGCTGCTGCAGGTAATCGCCGCACGCAGCCTGCACTCGGCATCGCCACGACTCGTATCAGCAACAACATCAGCATCGGCATCACCACTCGCGTTAGCAACAGCACCATCACTCGTATCGGCATCAGCAACAGCATCAGCAGCACGAGTAGCTTCAGCGTCGTTGTTATTGCCAGATTCGTTCTTGTCATCACCGCCATTTTTACGACCAGTGCAATCGTCATCATCATTAGCAGCTGAACCACAATTATTATTGTCGTCGTCGTCGTCGTTATCACCAGCTCCACAAGCACTGTTAGCATCATCGGTACCAGTTTCCGCTGCGCTACAAAGGCACTGATCTCCTATATAACCTCAACAGACTCTTGGGGCAAGTGCTGTTAGCAAGCACCGACACCACCGCCATCGGCATCCTCAGTATCATTGCTGTAGCGCCATCATTATTGGGTTTGAAGAAAAGTATCCTCCCCATAGAGGTTAGTCAGTTTAACACGAAGGCTTTCGCGACCAATGTCATCCATAATAGAGTTTTTTTTGGGTTGGATCGCGTAAATATACATATAAATGTGTCGTTATAACCCGCCACCACCCGACACAGCCAACTGGTAAGGGTTGTCAAGTGTCAAGGTGGTTACAGTGGTAGCGCTTGTGCCTCACAGCAAGCAGGACCTGAGTTCGATCCCTGCCTCGGGTGCCTATCTGCGTGGGGTTTGTATGTCCTCCGCCACCCCCCCCCCCCCGCTCTGCATGGGTTTCCTCCGTGTTGTCCGGTTTCCTCCCATAGCTAAAAAAAAGCATTAAATATAATGATTGGTGTTGGACAAACATCCCAATATAGCAGGAGCTTCGTGAAAAAGTCTTTGCACTTTGGCGTGGCTTTGCTGGGCTAACAAAAGTTATTAATATTATAATATCACTGTTCGTGGAAACTTCCATCACCACCACCAACATCGTCATCGCAACAACCACAACCACCATCATCACCGCCACCAATATCATCACAACCATAACCACCATCATCACTACCAACAACAGCATTAATATCATCACAACCACAACCACCATCATCATTATCACCAACATCATCATCACAACAACCACGACCAACAACATCATCTTCACCACCACCAACACCGTTGTCATCACCACCACCATCGTGACCACCAACATCATCACCACCACCACCATCAACAAAATCACCACCTCCACCACTAACATTGCCGAATTCTGTCCCATGCTTCATCAAATGTGGCTCTCGCCTCCTTTTTGGTTTGCGGTCGTTTCCAGCGCCACTAATCCGTGTGACCGTGACCGCGTGCGTGCGCGTGTTTGCCCACCGCTCGCAGGTCAAGGAGAGCTCTCTGATCGAAGCGCTGACCACTCGCAAGACGGTGGCGGTCGGGGAAAAGCTCATCGTCCCGTTCCGTCTGTGCGAGGTTTGTGTCAGAGATTGTTCTGCATTTTTTTAATTATTTTTTTTTACCATAGGGGGCCCCCTCCGTTGTTGGAGGCTTTTTCTGGCTTGGAGTGTAACCATGGGTAGCCACTCAGCCAAGTGGGCTTTGCCCCACAAGTACAACGGGGGACGACACTATTCTCCTTTTGTAACCCTGGGCCAGGGGTGGAAATTCCCCATTCCCGCAGCAGGGCCCATTCTATCCACAAGGTTCTTCTGGAACGCGTGACTCACATTTGTACTTGATTCACAATTGGAAGGTTGCAAGGACAAATCCGGACTGGTGCGTCAAATTGTCTCTACGTTATCATCATCATGAGTAGCAGCAGCAGCAGCATCATCATTGCCATCATCATGAGGGATGGAACTATTTTCTTCCCTGGTATGTGAATGAATTGCTGCGATTTTGAGAAAGGCGTCAACTCTTTACCTTTGTTTGCTGGCCGCTTGCCGTTTTTAGGCCTTGGGGCGCTCCGCAACCGTGAAGTGACAGGTAGAAGAAAAAAAACCAACCCCAGCAATAGGTTAATCTTTTTCCAGAAAGCGTTTGAAACGGATTCAGGGGGGAGACACTCCGACTTTCCGTGGGCTGACGTAGGAACACGCGAGCGAATTTGTTTCACGTGGCGCTCTGTCCAGCAAGGGTCAGGCGTGCCGTTTTCTGCCGGACGCCGCGGTGGTGGCGGCGACAGTGGCGCGCTTTGAAACCTCCGGGGGGGGGGGGGGGGTCGCCCCTTTGATGCCGCCGTTTGAACGCGGGGGTGGAGGGGGGGGGGGCCCTTTGAATTGAAGTGGCCATCAAAGTGGCTTTCGTGGCGGCGCCGTGAAATGTCACCGCTTGCCTCCCGCCGACCGTCACTTCCCCCCCCCTCCCCTCACGCTCGCCAGTCCACGTTCACCTTTACGTGGGAGCAGCTGGAAAATCCCAACCCTGCGTAGCCAATCGTGCTAATCGGAGGTGCGAAGTTGTGTGTTCATCAGTGTAATCACTGTTGTTATCAGCAGGATCACTGGATCATCATCATCATCCGATGTGTTTTCGGGGTGTGCAGCATGTTGTTTGGCATTATCTGACGTTTCACTCCAGAAGTTCCCAGTGTAATGTGATATCTGAACCAGTCCTGGGCCTGTCCTAGATCAACTCCTACTTAAATGGGTGCCGAGTGCGGTGCGTATATATCGGGACTTGGGAAACAAGGGAAACAAGGGCGGCCGGGTGTGGTGTTGGCCACACCACCACACCCCCTCTTATACCAAGTCGGCTTTAATAGGTGCTCGCTAACTAACAGCACTTGCCCCAAAAGTTCGTGAAGGTTATTGGGAGATCTTTGTTGTTTGTGCGTGGAGTGGTAGTGCAGCGGGTAGCGTGCTGTGCTATAAACCCAGCGACCCGAGTTCAATTCCTATTCACGGCCAGCACCAGTGACAATTATCTGAAACGGTCCCGAGCTGCCTCTAGGTCGATTCGGCCTCAAGTGAATGAGTGCCTGGCACAGTGGGGAAACGTCAGCACTGGGCAGACACAGGCGGGTGGGCGTGGTGCTCACAGCACTTTCCAGTGACGATTATCTGAACCAGTCCTGGGTTTACCCGGAGAGTCAACTCAGCCTCAAATGAGAACCTTGTGTGATTTGTGAACATCGCCACTGGGGGGACAAAGGCGGGCGGTTGTGTTGCTGGCCACCCACCTCTCATTTTCCGTGACCGCCTTGTAAGGTGCTCGCCAACAGCACTTGCCCCAACAGTCTGTTGAGGCTATAACGGCGGGGGGGATCTTTGTCTTTATGAAACCTGCAGGCCATCACGGCGAGGGACTCGATGGCCAAGTCGCTGTATGTGGCTCTGTTCGATTGGATCTTGTTGCGTATCAACCACGCGCTGCTTCACAAGCGAGACCTCGAGGAGAACGTGCAGGTGAGCCTGGTCATCATCGTCATCAGCATTATAAGTGTCATCGTCGTCGTCGTCGTCATCATCGGCAGCAGCAACATCAACAGCATTGGCATCATCGCCGTAATGGTGAAAATAAAAAAGCAGACAAGACGCCTCCTTCCCGTGTTTGTCTGTCCACGTAATAAATTAAAGTGTATTTTATTTTTTATTTTTTACAAATCCTATCGGCCACTCGGCCTTCTTGGAGTTATTGTTCTTCAGCAGCGTAGATTTAACACGTGCAAAATTCTGCACCGCTTTCGGGCCTGCTTAATGCAATGCTGGTGAACCACCAGATGTTTATAGGCAAGGACCCTCTCTCGTAGATACGGGTCCTGTTTCTACGCAAAACTCTCTCTCTCCAAACATTACACTATACGTCTTCTTGTATCTGTCTTTCTCCAAACATTATAATAATATTTTACACATCCCATGTAGCGTTCCGTGTATGTGTCAAGTGTGTGTGGAGAGCGGTACTATAGTGGTCAGCGCACTAATCTATGAACCCGGTGACCCGAGTTCTATTCCCGCACACGGGCAACATCGGTGGCGAACATCTGAACCGGTCCTGGGCCTCCCCTAGATCGACTAGGTCCTTGAATGAGTACCTGATGCGGTGTGTAAACATCAGCATGGGAAGACAGAGGTGTGGTGCTGTGTTGACCTTCATAGGCGGTTGCCAAAAGCACTTGCCCCAACAGTCTGTTAAGGCTATATGGGTATCTTTTGTTTTTCTTGTATGTGTGCCAGTGTTTGTCGATAGGGGTGCTCGACATATTTGGCTTCGAGGACTTCACTCACAGCAACAGCTTCGAGCAGTTCTGCATCAACTTTGCCAACGAGCAACTGCATCACTACTTCAACAAGCACATCTTCAAGATCGAGCAGGTATCTTCCTCTTGAATGGCTTAACTACATCTGTTAAGATGTTCAAATACCAAATAGACACCGATTACAAGGCATCAAGTCTGCATGAATCATGCGTAATTGCGGTAAAACTTGCAAGTAATTGCCGAGCTGCACCTTAACCTTTAGGAGGCCATTTAACAGTCCATTTAGACAAGGAGACTACATTTCAAGGCAGACCGAGGATGATTATATGTACTTATGTAGAAGTTCTTTCCCACCGTATGCGGCCAACCGTGCTAATCGGAGGTGCGGAAGATGCCTGTAATAATGACGATTAACCCCTGACTGGCGATCGAAACTCATGACCCTGCGATTGCGAGTCGACCTCTCTCGAACCACCGCATCCCTCGCCGCTTTCCCGCGTCCCCTCCATCCCAGGAGGAGTACGCGAGCGAAGGCATCGTCTGGCACAACATCGACTACGTCGACAACCTCGGCTGTATCCAGCTCGTGAGCAGGAAGCCCACCGGTCTCTTCCACCTGCTGGATGAAGAGTGCAAGTAAGTCTGGTTTTAAATGTGTTGCTTTATTCATCTGTGAAAATCATTCTCGCGGCAGCAGCAGCAGCAGAGGCAGTAGTCGCAGCAACTGTTCTACACGTCCTTTGTTGTATTCGGCGATCCCCGCGATCGCAAATGGCTAACATCGGTGGTGAGTGATGTCGGAAGCAGTCCTCGGCCTAGACCCTTCAAAAGCCTGCACTGACCCGTGTGGTGAAGGATGCTCCAGCAAACCCCCATGACTGACGCGGCATGGGGAGGCCTTCGATCAGCAGTGCATTGACGATGCTAAGAAAATGATTCTGCTTATATAATGTCATACCGATAGAACTGTATCAATTAGACATGGAGCCTGGGTGAGATTTTGGGTTCATATAATATATACATAACATATTGTGACCCCAGGGGTTAATTCTCCCAGGGGGGGGTGGGGGGGGAGTCGTATTGCTATGATATAATTTGTACCCCGGGCTTCAAATAAATTATATATACGTAGTATTTCTATCCCAGGTTTTCAAATTCCATGGGGTCAAAATGCTATCTCACACCGGCTTGAATCAGTGAATCCGGTGCTCGCTAACAGCAGCTGCGCCTGGCACGTCTGCCTGGCTAAATGGGTGGGGGGGTTGGACCGTTCTCTTTATTGTCCCAGCTTCCCGCAAGCAAACAGTGGAACCCTGCTCCGGAAGTTCCGGCACCAGCACGAGCGGAGCGAGTTCTTCGAGATTCCGGCCGTGATGGAGGCGGCGTTCATCATCAGACACTTTGCCGGCCGTGTGAAGTACCAGATCAAGGTCAGCTATAACCGGTGCACGAGCACGTGTGGGATTCATTGCCATCGCCATCAACAACGACAAAAACAGCAGCAGCGGCAGCTTACGTTGGCATCGTGCCTATAATGCAACAGGTGTCTCTGTGCACGAGTCACCGAATCTCCCAACCACCCACCCACCCATCCAGCCATACTCGTACTTGCACAATCAGCCACGCAGTTGGCACGTGTTACACAGTTAATCCGTCTGCTTCACACTGGATGTTGAAGATCCCCCGCGATATCTGGCGGTGGCGGCGACGTCATGGTTCAAATTGTGCTCACAAATGACTGTAATAGCGAAACACATGGCAATCGTCACCCCCCCCCCCACCCCCGTACTGTGGAAACTTTGCAGGAACCTCCCTGAGACTCGGTGAGGCTTTCCTTGGTGAAAAAAAACAAAACATTTTAACAAATATTTCCAAGAATAATTCTCCAGCGGTACTTACCAGGGCGGCATCTGGTCTCGACTGCGTCACCAACAAACAAACGAACGGACGAACCGGACAAAAGCGTCGTCTTCTCCCCAGGATTTCCGTGAGAAGAACACGGACCACATGCGCGCAGACGCCATCGCCCTGCTGCGCGGCAGCAGCAGCGTGCTGGTGCGTGCCCTCGTGAGCCTCCACCCCGTGGCGCTGCTGCGCTGGGCCGTGCTGCGTGCACTGCTGCGCTCCGTGCGGGCGTTCCAGGCCGGGGCCACTCGCAGGGCCGGGGCCAGGTCGGTTGTTGCCGCCGTCACCGCCGCCGCGTTATCGGGCGACGGAGCCCGCGATCACCGCGGTGAGTGGACGTGCGTGTGTGGTGTGTGTGCTTGGGGGGGGGGGGGGTGGAGGGGTAGTGCAGTGACTAGCATGATGCACTGCGAACCCGGCGACTCTAGTTCAATTCACCGCTCATGAAACAACGTCGGTGACGAATATCTGAACCCGGTCCTGAGCCTCACCTAGATCGACTCATCCTCAACTGAGTGACCCGACTGATACTTGGACATCTGTGAAAAAGAGCTTCACAGCTCATCGGATTCCGCCAGTCTCTCAATAAAGATTCTGATTTTAGAGTGCCTGGTGTGGTGTGTAAATATCGCCACTGGGGAGACGAAGGTGATCGAGCGTGGTTATACAGTGCCTTGACGAAGGCACTGAACAAAGAATTGGCGATTTGTACAGCAAACGTTTGATGAGATGAGTTGATGAGAAGGATGGTAGTACATGAGAATGATGATGCATGAAATAAACGATGGATGAAAGTGACAATGAGTGGTTAATGATGAGCGAGCGTGATGAATGGGTAAGGGATGACGGTGTTCACGATGGCGAAGCGAGGGGGAAGAGTAGTTTGGGTGAGCAAGGAAAAATGTCATCTTTCGTACGGCTGATGTAGATGCAGAGCAACGACTACAATTTCACATTCAGGTGGTCAAGCCCAGATAGACGCGTCAGGAGCAGCGGAGTGCATCATCGCCGTGATGTCTCCTTCGTTTTTGCGGATCGGTCATTGCTTCGTTATATACGTTGTACGGTCTGTTATGGACGACCGCAGGCATGCAATGGAAAGCGAGGGAAAGTAATTGTGTGTGTGCGTGTGTGTGCGTGATAGGCATCGGCATCGACGGGGGGCCTCTGTCGCCCGTCTTCTGCCCGCGAGCGTCCAGCAGCTTTCTCATGCACCCCGTGCACCAGAGGAGCCTCCAGATCCTGCGTCGGTGCTCGCAGGAGCGCGTGGCCGACAGCTCCCACGCAGGAGCGCCGCTCAGTTCCTCCCTCCCCTGGTACAGAGTCGTGAATACTCCCTCCAAGATGAACACAAAAAGCAGTTCTTATGAAAATAAGTTTTCAGTCGAGATTTAAAAGTGCACAGCTCCGGTGCCTTCCTCAAATCGGAAGGAAGAGCATTCCAGACGGCCGCAGAATCGCACGTCTAAAAGCGCGAGATGCAGTGACCGTCTTTAAATGAGTACCTGGTGCGGTGTGTAAACATCTTCAATGGGGAGACAAAGGTGACTGGACATGGTGCTGGTCACACCACTCCTGTGCTATGAAGGCATTGATAGGTGCTCACTAACAGCACTTGCTTGAAAATCGGTCCATTTATAACGGGGAGTCACTGTCGTCAAAATTACCAAATTTCAACAAAACTGGAATCGGAACCAAAGTGACCTAAATGGGGTTGCCAAAAATTTGAAAACCCAAACCAGGGCAAAGATGGCAATCTGCCAAACACATTTGGCCCTGACTACTACCGGTTGGCTCTCCATCCTGCTAATTAAATACTCCCAAAGACATGCACATTGGACGGTAAACCATCGCCGGACGTCATTTTTTTTTGTCCCATTTTGTTTGCAACTTATGCCGTGTTGTCCTTCCCCCGCACCGCGGATGAGCACGGTTGGCTACGTACGGTGCGAAAGAAGTTCAACATAAAAACTGTGACCTGTGACCCCAGGGATGGCGGGTGCGGGATGCGCCGTCGAGGCTCATGGGATGTGTCGCGAGATGACATCTTTGCCTGCGCGGCCTCCACGAGGCTGCGGGAGCGCACCAACAGTATGTTCTGGTCAGTTCCCAATCGCCTTCTCGAAAACACGATTGTTTATTCATTTAAATGTTATGAGGGTTTATATTTGGTTGTTAGTTTCTATAAGTAGGATTGAACCCTTACACAAATAATGCACGGCGTTTGTGGGACGCAATTCGCATGAATGACGCTATATAAAATTCAATTATTTTTGATGGCGTTAGAACATTGTACCCATATTTTTGGACTGGACAGTTTGAATTTAGCTGTGGGGGCTGAGCCTTTAACAGGGGGGGGCGGGCAGGGGTAGAGGCCGGGCCCCCCATCAGTCACCGCAACGATACACAATGCTGTGTGTGCGTGGGAGTGGTAGTGTAGCGGTTAGCGCGCTGCGCTATAAACCCGGCAACCCGGGTTCGATTCCCGCTTACGGCATCTGCACCATTCCCGGGTCTCCCCTAGGTTGACTTGGCCTCAAATGAATACTTGGTGCGGTGTGTAAGCATCGCCACTGGGGAGACAAAGGCGGTCGGGCGTGGTGCTGGCAAGCCACCTCCTCGTGTACCGTTCCAGCCTTCGTAGGTGCTCGCTGAAATAACTTGCCCCTACAGTCTGTTATGGCTATACGGGGGATCTTTGTCTTTGTGCGTGGCACCAAATCGCACAGAATGCCCCCAGTCTCACGAGAGCCCGGAAGCTAAAGCAGGTGTTTGAATCTGGCTAGTGCTTGGGGGCGTTGCCACCGTGCCCCAACAGGTCGTCGTATGCCACCGGAGACTATGGTTTGTTCAGGAAAGGTTAGTGCACAAAAATCCTTTGTTGTACTGAACTTCTATGCTCCCGCAACTTTGCTTCCCGCCTTTGCCAATCCACACTGACCAGTGCGGTCAAGATTGGTGAAATAACTCTCAGCATCCGTATGGTGTGGGAAGGCCGTCTTCCAGCAGTGGAGTGACAAAGGGACGTACATATATAGTACATATATTGGAAGCCAGTCACGTTGATGATGGGGTTGTGGACGATGGTCATTATAATGGTGATGGTTGGTTGTGATGATGGTGGTGGTTGTGGCATTGTTGATGTTTTTTGTCTCATTTTATTTCAGCCGTAAGAATAATTCCAAGCCCAAAATCAACTTACCAAAGGTACGGTCAATCCTCGACCTCATATACATTACTTTTCATGGCTGTAGCGGCGGTGATGACATTGATGAAGGTGATGATAGTGGTGGTGATGATGATTATGATCATTTTGGTTAGTTCTGGGTGGTTGCTGCAGTGATTGTATTCAGGTCAAAGCACCTCCGATTAGCACGGTTGGCTACGTACGGTGCGAAAGAAGTCCAACATACGTACATACATAATTGCAGCATTGATTATTCTCACGATGAAATCTTCGTTAATGTGATTGAAACTCGAGTTGGTCTCGTGTGCCATCTAGTGGTTTGGCAATCGCCATGACAGGCCCATTCATTTGAATGGAGACTCGGGAAATCAGCATGGGGATTGGACGTGGATTATGTGGATGATTCCTAGCCTTTCAAAGAATCCCATAAAATCATATTAGTAATTCCTGCAATCTCCAATGACATTGACGGTAATCTATGGACGCTGCTTAAGATGGGCAAACAATCCCATTTTATTTAAATATGAATGCATGCTTCTGCATTAAGTTTAATGGAATTATATCAGATTGTACCCGAGCTGTCGAAGAATGCACATGAATCTCCATGACCGTTCCTGCATCTAATTTCAAACGAATAGGGTTCCTAGTTGCGACTTCCACAATCGGAATCTTTCTACTGGAAGAATCCAATGAGTTTTGAAGCTCGTTTTCACAGATGAAGCAATTGGCGGGACCCCGGGGTCCCATCGCTGCCCCGGGGTAGGACAAACCCGCGTAGCGACACGAGTCTTGTTGCCTTACCGACAACAACAAAACTCTAGTGAAGGGAAACAATAAAATATATAACGTGACTTTACCGAAAGAACTAAGAATATGAATTACTGCAGTCACGAAAGCTTTAAATAAAAAATAAAACTCTAGTGGTCAATCGATTGGCCTCGTCGAGAGCTACTCGGGGACACTTAAGTTTCGTAAAAAGTTGAAAAATTACACAAGCACGTTAAATTCACTGCCTGGGGGGTTGGCGGTGGGGCTCGCCTTGGCAAAGAAGCTGAGGGTCGACGGCTGACCGGAGGGCGACTGCGGGCGGACGCCCCCCGGGGCTTGCGTTTGACCGGTGGGGTGGCGCCCATCGTGGTGATCGCCGCCTGCTGCTGCTGCTGGCGGCGTGAGTCTGGGCGGGCGGCGCGTTGATGTCGGGATCACGAGTGGGGCGGACTGAAAAATAATTATTATTATTGACCTGATTTATGCGGGACCCCGGGGTCTCGCCAAATGATTCAGATGTCCATTAGGGGTGGGTAGGAAACTCAGAACATTCCAATGTTTCCCGCTAGATGGCGAGCTTTGACGGCGATGGATTTCTGATTTTTATATATCTGATGCTACTGCTTCGGCTGCTGCTACTGGCAGTGTTGCTGATGATTTTATTGTATACTAGCGGGAAGTACCCGGCGTTGCCCGGGGGAAAAATATATTTAAAAACGTCTCAAAACTTAAAAACATAACATATACAAATGAAAAGAGAACTTTGATCATTACCTCATTAATTAAAATTAAAATAAAACCCAACGCGTGGTGTAAAAAAACTTACACTCGCGCGCCAAAATTCGATTCTTTAAATCGCGCAACGGAATCGAAGGTTGTATATTTCTTTAGAATCGGCCTATTCCCGTTTAATCGATACCACAAACGCTCACCAGATATCGATTCTCGCCAGTCCTGTATGCGGGTTGACGCCATACACGTTATGGTCATTTCCCCCCCCCCCCCCAAAATACAAAAGTCATTTTTTATACTTTTTGCATTGTGTACAGTCTGGAAGCTACCCACATGCCAAATTTCAAGTTTGTTGCATGTCGGGAAGTATGTTAAACATTTTAAACAGACACACATTCACAAATTTCCCTTTCATATATATAGATATGTATGTTGAGCATCTTTTGCACCGTACGTAGCGAACCGTACTAGTCGGAGGTGCTGGTGAAGGACAACAAACTGAACACAAAAAGCAGTTCTAAAGAAATGAGTTTTCAATCTAGATAAAAAAAAGTGGTTTCTTAATATTGGAAGGAAGACGATTCCAGACGGCCGCAAAAGCGCATCTGAAAGCACGTGATGGGGTAACAGTCTTTGTTCGATGGTTAGCCAAAAGCCGCTGCTGCGACGATGACCGGAGTTTTGTGTGATGTTTTACGCTCCTTGACGACGACAGCAAAGTTCCGCGGTGTGTATCGAGTGCGACCATATAAAAAAATGTTTGCATCAGCACGATTATGGTCATGCCGATGCCGATGCTGGTGCTGCCGCCGATGGCGGCGGCGGCGGCGATGATGACGACGACGACGATGATGATGATGCTGTGTGCGTGTGCAGCATCTGGTGGACATACGCTCGCTGCAGCACGTGGTGCGGCTCTCCCAGCACGAGCGCCCGGCTCACGCCCTCCTTCAGCCTCACCCCAAGAAGAGACCTCCCAGCATCTCCGCTCAGTTCCAGGTCAGAATCAGAATTGGGGTACTTATTTATTCATACTGGAGGAATCCGATGAGCTGTGAAGCTTTTTTTTCACTGATGTCCGGTTGGGGCGGGTCAGAACGTTAAAACACATTTGAACAGAGTAGGTCTGGTTTCCGATGCGACTTGGCGTGGAGCCTTTGTTATTCTCGAGTTTTTTGTGGATTTTTACCCATTCAGCCCTGTTAAAAGCGGCCGATAAGAGGAAAGACACATCGGGTCAGGTGATATTTCCGCTGTTTCAACAAACGATACGAAAACGCGACATGCGTGCAAAGAATAGGAAAGGTAAACACATCACTTATCGGGTCACTGAATCGGTTAATTGTGTTTGTAGCCACCAGATTAAAAGAAAAATAAAGAAAAATGAAAAAAAAAACTACAAGGCCTCGCTAAAAAAAAACTGAATAATAATTTTGTCCGGAAATGTTACAGTGCTCAAATTTTTTTAATTTTGCATTTTGAAATCTTGATTTTGTTTCTGGATTCAGCGCCGTTAAAAAATCAACAGGTAGTAATCTTCTCTGTAGACCTATGTTAAACAAAACAAGTTTCAATATTTTCTCTTCAAAATGTCAAGGGATGGATTTTTTTGATGAACAAAATACAAAAAAAAATGTGATTATGGAATTCTCTGGTTATCACCATGGATTTAACTAAATGTGTGCCAAATTTCACCTCTTCCATTTGTTTGTTACTCAATAGTGATCATTAAAATGTAATCGACGTGTGTGTGGATGTATTTTGTGTTTTTTACTTTACGTAACCTCAAAGTACACCTAGCGTCGCACAAGCACTGTGGTGACGTCACTGCCACTTAGTGGCGATTGGCCGCTGTTGTTGTTGTTGTTCACTTTTGGGGAGTGGTGACACATTGGTTAGTGACCCGAGGCCAACATCATTGCCAGTCAAATTTTCAGAACCTTTCCTGGAACTCTCCCAAGTTGACTCAAAAACCTCAACACATTCTTCAATAGCACTGTGGCCTTAAAATGAAAAACATAAAACTTGTAAAATATAAAACATAATATATTGAACATATAACAGACGAAATTTCAGTCGGTGGCCTTTCTTCATATCCATCGCCCATTTTACATTGTTCATTTTAAGGCCACAGTGTTATTGATAATTGCGTTGACGTTTTAAAATGTTTTATTACACTTCACGCCCATGCATCACTGGTGCCAACAGAGCAGTATCGCCAAACAATTTGCTTTAAGGTCAATCTTTATTTGAAGCTTTCGTGACTGCAGGGATCCATACTCTTTGGTTCTTTTGGTAAAGTCACGTAGGTAGGCTCGGTTTTACAAACCGGGGTGTGGTGCTGCTGGCCACTTCACCTTCCGTGCTGCCATGCTGGCTAGCACATCTGCTCGATCGCACCACGTCGCCCCTACAAGTCCGCAAAATACTTAAACGTGGGGTCACGGGGGGGTGGGTGGGTGATGGCGGGGAGAGTGGCGGGGCTGCATCATGTGTCCATCATGTGTCCTCTGCTACACTACCACTGCCCCACATGCTTGCAAGCATGTGGGGCAGTGGTAGTGTAGCGGTTAGTGCGCTGCGGTACGAACCCGAGGACCCGAGTTCCGAGTCCCATTCAGGGCCAACACCAGTGACGATTATTTTAACCGTACTCTTTGGTTCTATTCGGTAAAGTCACGTAGGTAAAAATGAAATAACAAAAATCACGACGTTTTGGCCACAACACAAGTGGCCTTCATCAGGTGAAGGGACCGGACTGTCCAGAGGACAGCGTTGGAGTGAAGACAGCCAAGCCCAGGTCGCGTCCTTTAAGCTGTGTGGGAAGAAAACAAAAAACGCCTTGACAAAGGAATTAGCATTAAATGATGTATTGGACCGGCACGGTGGGGTGGGGGGAGTTTACATAATGTTGGTGTGAAGGGAAATAAGCTGCTGTGAAAGTTTGGGATACCACTACTTGAAAAAATATACTGTAACATTGAAAATGAGTTTAATGTTTGGTTTTATTTAGAACATCTTTCCAATGATTACTTAATTTGAAACCATCCTCTCGGTTAAAATTGTGTCTGTGTTTGTAAATCTGAATTGCCTCGTGGATGTCTAGAATTGATGTGGTGTAGGAAAAGGTTCAAAGCTGGGAGGCCATGTGGCCAAATGACGAAAGTATCATCCACATATCTCTTCCAAAGGGAAGGTCTGGATGGCGTCTGATTCAAATTTCTCCATGAAAACATTGGCTACCACTGGTGATAAGGGAGAACCCATGGGGGTACCCTCATTTTGTTTGTAGAAGGTGCCATTCCAAGTAAAGTAGGTATTGGTGAGGCAGTGTCTAATCAGCGCAGGTGTATCGAGGTCTAGTCCATGTTGTACCAATTTTCAATTATTTCAATGTTATCAGGTACCAGAACCTTAGTGAACAGGGAGACCACATCGAAGCTGACAAGGATATCGTCAGGGGACAGTACAACGCCTTTGACCATAGAGACCAAATGAGCTGAGTTAAGTACTGCTGAGGAGGTCTTGCCAGTGAAAGGTAGCAAGGTATCTGACAGAAAACGTGCTAGCTTATAGGTAGGGGAGTTGATCGTGGATACTATGGGTCGTAGTGGAGTGCCTTCTTTATGAATCTTGGGGAGACCATAGAATCTAGGGGGTCTTGCAGCAGAAGGTTTTAAGGAGGGACGTTTACTTGGTTCGATTAGGGAGGTCGAACTTGTGATGATCTTGTTGGTTTTTTATCGCTAGGCTATTAGTAGGGTCATTTTTTATTTTTGATTAACTTCCATCGTTGAGTAGGTTCTGGATTTTGTTGTTGTACGAATCTTTATCCATAATTACAGTAGCGTTGCCTTTGTCGGCTGAGAGGATGACTATATCACTTCTGTTTTTTAAATTCGCGAGTTCAGAGCATTCATTTTTGCTGATGTTGCTAATGGGTTTCTTAGCATTCTTAAGAATAGTGGCTATTTCATCTCTCGCAACGTCTGCTTGGATGTGTTCTATGCCTTTAAGGGCCACATCGACCTGAGAGATGATATCATCTACAGGAATATGTTTCGGGGTGACAGCAAAATTTAGCCCTCTAGCCAGTACTGTTTTCAGATCGTCCGAAATCGGGGTGCTACTCTGATTAATTACGATTTTGTTAACGTCTAGTTTTGTTATATGTGGGACTGGGTTCTTCTTCGATAGGTGGTTGAATTTAGAAATCAGGTTAGCTTTACATTTGACTGAAAGTGAATCGGCAGAAGAAGCAGTCATGTTGTCTACGTGGTTCCAATCAGAAGGTGACTTTTTTGTGTTAGCGTTAAATGAGCTTGTAGGAGAGTCCTGTCTAAAGTATCGAGTTCAAAACGGAGTAGTCTTATCCTCTCTGAGATTAAAGATAGGCTGGCCTTAAACAGAATCTGTTTAGAATTCGGTGAGGATACAGCAACAGATGTGAGTGTGAAAGCGATGGGTATTACCTTGTTGTCGCGGCATCTTTTGAGGAAGGTCAGCGTCTCTTAAAGGACGCGACCTGGGCTTGGCTGTCTTCACTCCAACGCTGTCCTCTGGACAGTCCGGTCCCTTCACCTGATGAAGGCCACTTGCATTGTGGCCGAAACGTCGTGATTTTTGTTATTTTATTTTTACCTACGTGACTTTACCGAATGGAACCAAAGAGTATGGATCCTTGCAGTCACGAAAGCTTCAAATCTAGAATTATTTGAACCGGTCCTGCGCCTCCCCTAGGTCAATTCAGCCTCAAACGAGTACCTAGTACGGTGTGCAAACATCACCACTTGGAAGACAAAGGCGGCCGGGTGCTCGTTGTGTGCCACCCACCCCCTCGTGTGCCGTGCCGGCCTTCATAGGTGCTCGCTTAACAGCATTTGCCCCAACGGTCTGTCAAGGCTTTGTGTGCGCGTGTGCGATGTGCCTCTCAAACGACGAGCAGGCCTCCCTGAACAAGCTGCTGGACACCCTGAACCAGGCGCTGCCCTACTTCATCCGCTGCCTCCGCTCCAACGACCGCAAGGACCCCATGCGCTTCGACGAGGAGCTCGTGCTGCGGCAGCTGAGATACACGGGCATGCTGGAGACTGTGCGCATTCGTCGCGCCGGCTACAGCACCAAGTACACCTTCCAGGTGAGGGCTCCCACCTGCGGGCGGGTGGGTGGGTGGGTGGAGTGGGAAGCGGTGTCAAGATCGGCCTCTGTGGAGGAGGCTCGTGAAGGACGCTGCTGCTGCTGGGGAGTTGGAGGCAGATGCCCTCCAGGAACAGCGGAGGGGAGGAGGAGCGACGCTCGCAACAACGAGCGGAGTGCCGGGTGGTTAAAACGCAAAAAGTTGGTACAGTGGGGAGGACAGGTGGTGCATCGTCCAGTCATTTCAGTCCGTCAACCCGTGGCACCTGGGTCTGTTCCGTCACCTCTTGCCAGCAGGCCTTCGACACTTCACATTGCCTCAAAGATCACCGAGCAATGGCACAAGCGCCATGGTAATGTCATCGCCACTTAGTGGTTATCGGCAGTTGTTGTTGTTGGTAGTAGTGGCGGTGGTGGTGTCGTGGCTAGTACATTGTGCTACGAACCTAGCGACACGAGTTCAGTTCCCGCTCACGGCCAATCACAGTCACAAATATCTGAACCGGTCCCGGGCCTCCCCTAGGTCGACTCATCCTCAAATGAGTACCTGGTGCGGTGTGTAAACATCGCCATTGCGGAGACGGAGGCGGCCGGGCGTGGTGTTGACTTCCCACCCCCTTGTGTGCCGTGCCTGCTTTCAAAGTTGCTCGCGAACAGCACTTGCCCCAACAGTCTGTTTAAAGGCTATACGGGATATATTTATCTTTGGTGGTAGTAGTTGTGTCATTAAAGCCCTCCACCATCCGGCACGGCCAAACAAATTCACTCGTCACGTGTACATGCCTGTCAACCCCTCATCAGTGCCCTACATTATTACAGACCAATTTAGACCTTATTGTTCACCCCATGCCCTTATAAATCTCAACGTTCATCCTACAAAGTCCCATCACAAGGGAGACGCACAAACAAATAGACAATGTTTTCGTTTTGCCCGTATTGAAATGGCTGTACGCCGTATGGACCTGAACATTCAATTCCCCTGTACAAGAACACGGGTAAACCGTGTGGGTTAACAGCTATGCGTGTACCAGTTTTTAACCCGCAAACTCTTCATTGTTTCGGCTCGCTCGCCAGTAAGTCGAACAACAACTATGAAGACCAAATTTAGAAAATTGGTCACATGACGTTTCGTTTGTAACTGCACCACACATCGCGAGGATAAGATTCCAGGAAGTCGGGATAAACGTGTCACCGGACTTGGCTTCTCGGCCGCGTCCATCACCGATGCCGCTGTTGTCCCCTTGTCAGGAGTTCAAGGAGCGGTTCGGCGTTCTGATGCCGCGAGACGCGGAGCCCGGGCAGGCCGACGTGGGGTCCCTGCTCCAAAGCCTCCGCCTGGATCCCAACAACTATCAGATCGGACGCACCAAGGTGGGGCGCGCACACACGGGCGCGGGCGGGGACACTTAACCCCTTTCCCGGTCCGATGACGTACGTGCACGCCATCGGTTTCTCTTATCCGATTCCGTTCCAACGATGTACGTGTACGAATGAGCACCCGGTGCAGTGTGTCGTAAACATCGCCGCTGGGATGACCGAGGCGGCCGGGCGTGGTGCTGGCCACCCACCCCACTCGTGCGCGGTGCCGGCCTTCGTCGTTGCCACTCGCTATAACGGCGCTTGCCCCGACAGTCTGCTGATGCCGCGAGGGGGAATCTTCGTCTTTGTTTCGCGTGCCGCCCTTTAGGTGTTCCTCAAGGAGAGCGCTCGGCAATTCGTGCAGGACTGCCTGCACGACGAGGTGTCGCGACGCGTCGTGCTCCTGCAGCGCCACCTGCGCTGCCGGCGCGACCGCGCAGCCTTCCAGCGGCAGAGGAACGCCAGCCTGCTCCTGCAGGTGCTCCTTCCACTCTCTCTTAAGTCTGTCCTGCGCGCAGTACAGCAAGTAGATACGCAAACCAGATCGCTGTCAAATCGCACCCTCAGCTGCGCGCAGCCTTTCGGCGACATTTGGAGGCACCAGCCTGCTCCTGCAGGTGCGACTCCACTCTCTCTTAAGTCTGTCCTGCGCGCAGTACAGAAGGTAGGTATGTGTAAACATCACTGCTGGGGAGACGAAGGCGGCTGAGTGTGGTGTTGGCCACCCACCCATTCGTGTGCCGTGTCGGCCTTCGTAGGTGTTCTCTAAAAGCTTTTTTCCCTAACAGTCTTTTGAAGGCTGTGTGTGGGGGATCTTTGTCATTTTTTTCTTTTGTGTGTGTCCGTGTGTGCGTCTGCATGTCCGCATGTCAGCGCGCCGTGCGAGCTTGGCTTTCCGAGCACCGGTTTCTCCGCTGTGTTGAATCCGGCCGCGACTTCTGGCAGCAGCGCCGAGATTCCAAGTACGGCAATCCTGCCGTGCCCGCCGCCATCATATTTCAGGCAAGCTCCTCACGCGCGGTGGAGCGGTAGCGCTGTGGTCGGCGTATTCCGAGTTACGTTCCTTGCCACGTCGGTGGCGAGTGATGTCGAAATCGCTTCTGGGCTCCTCCCAGCCTTCACCAGGGCGCCCGAACCAACCAGTTTTGTGAAGTTTGGTCAAACAACCCCCCGTGTCTGACGCAGGCATTCATCCGGCAGTGGATTGACAAAGAGGCCCTCAAATAAGTCGTTAAGTTATCCGGTGGAGGGGAGGGCAAGCTACAAAGTCGAGCATTTGAGTTGCACTTACAGGCTGGCAAACAGGTAGTGGTGGTGTGGGAAACTGTAAGGGTAGATGTTGGAGGCTGTCCCGGAACTCAATGTTCAAGGGCCCAGTCCTACTGTTGCTGCCCATTGAACTCATCACTGCTGCCCTCACTTCCCTAGTTGCTCCTGGTACTCGTCGTCATCGTCGTCACCTTGGCCCCGGTTGCTTTTTCTAAGGCCTCGCTACGGTGATGCTCTCTCACCTCTCTCTCCTCTCACTCCTGTGTCTCCCTACACCGACCGCCATTCCACCCCACGCCCTGCACAATGAGACGCTACACACACTGCCAGTGTTTCTGACAAGAGCACCATAGCATGACTGATCAGATAGAATGAAGGAGGCAACGGCTACGTGGTGACATCGACAGCATAGGGCCTCGATGATGACATCTTCATGTTCATTGTGACTCTCTAAATTTCGCCCGTTGCTCCACAGGCCTGCCTGGCTAAGATGAGGCTGCGCGGTCCATCCCGCCTCCCATTGTGTGCGGAGGGGGATGAGGAGGGAGTAACCTCTGGATACTTGGGCACCGTGTTGGTGCAACGGGTCTGGCCGGAGGGGGCGGAGAAAGCCGCCACGAATATTCAGGCCGCGTGGCGCGGGTGGCGATTGCGGGTGGCGTATGGCCAGCTGAGGCACGCGACTCTCATCCTGCAGGTGAATGGGGGGGGGGCTGGGCACACCTGTGTGCCGCACGTGAACTTGAGCGTGTGGGTATGACCGTGTGTGCGAAGTGGTAGTGCAACGGTTAGTGCGTGGCGCTACGAACCCGGCGACCCGAGATCGATTCCCACTCGCGACCAATAACAGTGGCGAATATCTCAACCGGTCCTGGGCCTCACCTCAGTCGACTCATCCTCAAATGAGTAGCTGGTGCGGTGTGTAAACATCGCCACTGGGGAGACAAAAGCGGTCGGGCGTGGTGCTGGCCACCCACCCCCTCGTGTGCCTGCCGTGCTGACCTTCATAGGTGCTTGCTAACAGCACTTGCCCCAACAGTCTGTTAAGGCTATACGGGGGGATCTTTGTAATTGTGCGTAAGTGGGCAATGGTGGTGGCATGATTTGTGCACTGCAATACGAGCTCAGCACTTCAATTCCCAGATCTGATGCACAACATCAGTGGCAAGTGGCGTCTAAATCTGTCCCGAGCCTTGCCTAGGTAGACTATATTGTGTATGCGCATGAGATTTTTGGTAGGCAGGGTTATCCACACGCAATGTGGGCCGCACGATCCCTTTGTGATACCACCCATTGTGTACCATCCCCTTGTGAACCGCGCTGGGCTTAGCAGGCGCTCGCTAACAGCACTTGCCTCTGTGCCTCTGTATGTACGTTATGTTGAACTTCTTTCGCTGGGAGAAGGGCAACAAACTAAACACAAAAGGCAGTTCTGAAGTTAATTAGTTTTCTCGCGAGATAATCGGCAAGGTCGAAGCGGGTGGGGGGGGGTTGTACGTGATTACACACGCGGTGTTTGCGATTGTGCCTGCGATTGTCGGCCCAGGTGTGGTGGAGAGCGCGGCGGAGCCGGGCCAGCTTTGTACGCATGCGAGCTGCCGTGGTCGGGCTGCAGGCACGCTGGCGCGGGCAGACGGCACGCGCGCGGTGAGTGGCCACTGCCCCGCACGTACGGAGTCGTCGTCCTCCTCTCCACCGGGATGGCTTCTATCCCTCCCCGTCGAGTGGTTTTGTGATGTTTGAGCGCGCGGTTCTTCCTCTTCCACGCTCAGCTCCGAGTGTTCCCTTCGTCACCGGCCTTTCGCAGCCGGTCACCATTTATTCTAGTCACCATTCATTCTAGTCACCTGTACTAATGATTGCAGCTTCCTCTACGTGACCTGATTCAGTATCCTTGATGCTTTGTCTGTGTCGCTTCTTTCCAAGACTTCCTTCAATTCCTTGTTGCATTGCCCTTCCCTATCGAAGGCAGTGATTCCTTCTTCTTTATTGTTAAGAATCCGCGTTCCTTTCACACCCACAAATTGCTACTGATTACACCGAATGAGTTTGGAGAGTTTCCCCGTAGCCTTGAGCAACCGTTAAAAACTTTTACATCCACGCATGACATCTACTCAAAGTTACCTTTCCATAAAATCCCATAAAATCTACTTGCCTTTCTTATGCTATTTGTTGCGCACGTTTGAAATTTACTTTGCTCAGTCGGTGTTAGCCGCTGAGGTCTCATTTCCTCTTGTTCCGTGCTCCCTGTAATCATTCCCATTCCGCTGTAACGCATACCGATGCCCACTTTATTGAGGGTCTATATTGGCACGGAGAAAAATAAAGACCCATTAATTGATCGTCATATCCCCAAATAACACTCCTTCCTCCGCGGTGTCCCCCCAACTCAGATTTCGGGAGCTTCAACCGCGAGAGGCGCGGCCGTCTGCCGCCCCGCCGTGCCCCGCTCGCCCCGCTAGCCCCGCCGACTCGCGCCCGCCGACTGACCCCGACCCGGCGGCAGTCGTCCTCTCGACCGGAGGCCGCCACCCCGGTGACCGGCGTTCGGGGAGCGCCGCCGCGGGGTTTGACGCGGGATCGGGAGGCTCGGCGGAATCCGACGGAATTGGCGGAGGGCGCGAGGCCGCCGAGGCGGCGTCGCGGGACGACGACGGCGGCGACCGGCGGCAGCGGCGGCGGCGGCCACCGGTGGCGGAGGAAGAAAGCGGGACGAGTCTCGTGGTCGCGCGAAATGTGACGGGCGACAACGGCATCGTGCTTGCAGAGGAGTCGCGAGGCGCCGATGCTGCTGCTGTTGTTAGCGATGAGGATGGCGTCGGTGGTGGGAATGGTTGTGAACGTCATCGTGGTGTTGAGAATGAACTTGACAATATGAAGGAGGAGGAGGACGTCGAGGATCAGGCGAAGGGGGTGGTGTTGAACGAGGGAGATGAAACTGTGTACAGGCGACATGGAGATGATGACAAGGACCATGATGATGATGATGGTGTCCTCCTACGAGACACATCAGTAGACACTGTCTCGATGGATGAGACGTGTCCCAATCCTGTCTCGGCTGGTGAGGCAGAGGACAACCCTGTCTCTCTTTGCAAGACGATGGACAACTTTGTCTCCATTCTTGAAAGCATGAGCGATGCTGTCACAGCTCGTGAGACAGCAGCTGGACTTGTGTCTCTTCCTGAGACGACGAACAAACCTGTCTCCCCATACAAGGAACCTAATGACATTGCCACCCGTACCAAGACGGTTAACAATGTTGTCCCTGCCGATAAGACAGAGGATGATTTTGTCTTCACCAACGAGACAGAAGACATTTCTCTCTGTCCCAGTGAGACACCAGACCAACCTGCCTTTGTGCCTGAGACACTGGACGGTTCTGTCTACCCCAAGGAGACACAAGACCAACCTGTCTGTCTCCATGAAACCGCGGATCGTGCTGCATCTCCAAACAGAACAACAGACGGTTCGTGCTCCCATCCCGAGACGACGATGGAAGTCCTCGTCTCTCCCGGCGAGGACCCACATGGCTGTGTCTTCCACCACGAGGCACCGGGCAGTCCTGCCTCCCGCTGCAAGACGACCGACGGCCCCCTCGCCCATCAAGAGGCAATGGAGGTCATCGCATCCGCCGACGATGCGGCGGACGACGCCCTCGCCCGCCTTGAGACCGCGGACGACGCTCTCTTCTTGCCCAACGTAACGCCGGTCGACTCGTTCTCCTGCCGCGAGACCACAGACGTCTCGCTCTCGCCTCGTGACACGACGGGCGTCTCCATCTCGTGCCGCGTGGTGGCCGCCCGCCGCGTCTCCCTGCCCGCGACGCCGGACGTGCAGGCCCCGGCCGCCGAGACGCCGCGCGTCCCCTCGTCGCTGCCGGACGACTACCTCCACCGCCTGCTCGACACGCTGGACGAGGGCGACTGCGGGGAGCTGCTGCGCGAGATCGCCCAGAACCTCTACAAGAGGGATGGGGAGGAGGAGGAGGAGGACGACGAGGATGAGGACGACGATCGGGACGACGACGGCGACGACCGCGACGGCATGGACGCGGACGCCGAGGAAGGCGGCGGAGCCGCCGACGGCCGCGACGGCGGACGGCGGGCGGAGCGGCGGAGCGGTGCGGCGAAGGGACGGCCGGAGTCCGTCGAGCGGCGGGCGAGGTGGACGGGGCGCCCCAAGTTCGCGCCGCCCGCCAAGCCCGGCGCCGGCGCGTCGGCAGAGGACGCTGCGCTCGCGTATCGGAGCCGAGAGGTGTGTGTGTGTGTGTGTGGTTTTCATAACGCGAATTGGATGTATTAAGCGGTGATGAATGTATTAGAGGAACACGTTAGGGAAGACGCGGATGCGAATTGGATATAACGCGGTGAAGTGAACACACAACTACTTCACCCGAGGTAGGAATAAGCGGTCGTACGGCTGCCTCGTCGTAGCGTCGCACAAAGCGGGATGCTGCTGGATGCTTCTAGACGCTACCCACGCACCTCAGTCTTTGTTCAGCCTGTGTACGCATCTCACGTGTTATTGCGGACTGTGCTTTACCCTATGTTATTATTATGACGCGAATTTTCCATAACGCAGTGTTATTCACGAACGCAACTCTCCTATTATAGCAGAACCAACTGTATTACATTTTTAGGTTTTTTTTATATGTATGTATGTATGTTCAACTTCTTTTGCACTGTACATCGCCAACTGCGCTAATCGGAGGTGTGGGGGAAGGACAACAAACTAAACACTAAAAGCAGTATTCAAGAAATTACACTGTCAAAATAAATTTCTCGCTCAAATGAGTGTTTAAGGCGGCGCTCACGCCAGCGGCGAAAATTTGACGTCCCTACGGCTGGGGGTGGCTCTACGCGTAGGACAACCCGCTGTTGACTTTTCCAAAAAGTGGTACTTATTTGATTGACCCACCCACCCCGGGGGTATGATGGGCCGAGTCAAACCCCTCCAACCAGGAGTTGAACTCGCAACCTTCCGTTTGTGAGCCGCTCGCCCTACCGCTGAGCCACCGGGCCAGGTTGTGTGTCGCGCGCGTATATGCACATACACTCGCGTTCACTGCGCGAGTGTATATGCGGCCGTCTGGAATTGCTTTCCTTCCGATATTAAGAAACCACTTTTTTGATCTAGATTGAAAACTCATTTCTTTAGAACTGCTTTTTGTGTTCAGTTTGTTGTCCTTCACCAGCACCTCCGACTAGCACGGTTCGCTACGTACGGTGCAAAAGATGTTCAACCTCGTGTGCAGGAGCGAGGTGGATTGTTGCATGGTGAGGCCATCAGTCCAGCAGCGGAGAGTTAACGGCCCATGAGATAAACCCATAGCTGATAGCAGCTCGTGAGGTGTGTAAAACGTTATTGGGGAGGGTGACAAATGAAAACCTCCGAACGTTCTCACTTTGCACGTCCACAGACGATGACAACCCCACCACCACCGTCGCCGCCACCACCATCGTCGCCACCAGCAGCGGCGGCGGCGGCGGCAAAGGAAGCGGCCGAATCGCGAGTGCCGTGGTCTCGGCGCTCGGTTCAAACGAAGTTGACGGCGGAGGAGGTGGACGCCCTGCGCCGCATGATCGTCATCAAGCAGGAGAACCTCGAGTCGGAGGGGCGAGCCCATCACATTCCCGGGCTGCAGCTGCAGCACTTCAACCTGCCGCTGGGAGAGAAGAGGCTCAGGGCTTTCGGGCCGGGCGCGTCGACGGGCAGCGGCGGGATGCACGGCTCGGCCGGCAGGTGCTGTCCTCGCGCCCCCATGCAATGCCAGTGCGATTCGAGAGTTCCGTCGCAACACCACCACCACCACCACCACCCGACTCGACCCAATAGTTTTAACACGTAGTAGACTTTTGCTGCCAATATTATTCATGATCAAGATTTTTGGGTTGGATCACGTAAGTACCAACACATGCAAATCAACTGTGATTATCAATCTATTGTTATATAATTACAATAAACCCCCCCCCCCCTCCCTCTGCTGTCCTTACCTGATTGGCTCAATGATGGCGTCATCTTGTTCTATTTAAGACCGGAAGCAGGTGGATCGTTTCACTATTCTGGCCGATGATGCTGGATGTAATTTACCAGCAAAACATCGTACTACTCAAATTGTAAATATTGTGGATTTACTCTCTAACACACTGGTGGGCTGAAATAGTAACCAATCGGTGCATTTTGTTTACGTGATAAACTTTACTGGTTGTTTCGGGTGGTGGAAAGTACGACACATTTATATTTCCGCGATCTAACCCAAAAAAATGTATTACCAATCCAGTTAAACTGTCACGTGCGATTGTTTTTCAGGCCACCGGTCGGTTGGAGAACGTTTCTCGCCACCAAATTTTAGCAATTGGATACGTCAAGCATTCTCCGGTCATGAAACTAGGAAGTCAGGATGTAGAATATCTCCATGTTAAGATAACACTATGCTAATAGCAAGGCTGATGGTAGCTAGGCTGAGAGCTGGGCTAGTAGCTGGGCTGGCAACTAATCTAATGGTTGCTGGGCTTATAGCTAGGCTGTTAGCTAGGGTGGTAGGGAGGCTGATAGCTATACGGGGATAGCTGGAGTGGTAGATAGGTTGATGGTAGCTATGCTATTAGCTAGTGTGGTCGATGGGCTGATGGTAGCTAGGGAGTAGCTAGGAGTGTTTCAATACTCGTTGAGCAATTCGATAATCTCTCCTCTTTACAATCTCGTTAGTCTTGTGTTTTTCATTTTATCTGTCTTGTGTGTATATGTTCATTCTCCCCATTAATCTTAATGTAGCATTGGCATACAGTCTTGAATAAATCGTTAATTATAGTAGTAAAAATTACACACACAATACAATGTATTGTGAACCTATATATTCTAGCTGTCCAACTTAACGTTGAATGTTTAATGTAAAAGTGTAATTGTTACTTCCAATGCTTGGTTGACCAGTGGCGAAGTGGGTTAGCGTACTTCACAATGAACCTGGCTGCCTGAGTTCAATTCTTGGCCACGGCTAACATCAGTGGAGAGTGCCCTCCCATGTGCCACCCTTATCCATTCACCGAACCACGCCTAACAGCCTTGGCGAAGTATGGTCAAACAACCAACAACCCCCATGACTGAAATAGCGTGGGGAAGCCGTCATTCAGCAGTGGATTGACATCGGCTATGTAGGTGCCAGGTGGATTATATTACACATTGCAGGATCACGAGGGTTGGCGACGGATTAAGGGAAGCCTTCATCCAGCAGTGGGTTGACCCCGGCTCGCGACGATGACGACGATGGTTGTTGTTAACCCTTTCCCGTTCCAATGACGTACGTGTTCGTCATCGTTTTTTGTTACTGTGTACATTATCAAAACGAAACCGGAATAAAAACGAAAGTAAAATAACTTTATCGGTACTGAGGCTCCCACAAGGCCATGCGGGGGAAGGCTTTTGGCACAGTTTGGCGTCAGCTATCGTAGAGCGCGGTCGTGTCGCTACGGTTCTCTGCGGCGAGTACGATGTATTTAGAACCAGCTGCGCTACGCCTTACAAAATAAAATTAATGCTGAACCGCTTGCGCTTTCCTGAGATTCGGCGATGAACGGGACACTCACTCCAGCAACTTACAGTCGTCTCGGAACAGAAGAGGGTTAATCGCGATGCGATGTTGGCGCGCAGGGTGCACCTGAAGAGGCGTCTGCGCAACTTCCTGAGCAACAAGCGGGTGGCCGACAAGAAGACGTCACATGATCGTCCCGCCGGTGCCCCGTCCACCACCACCACCATCGCGACCTGGCGGTGGTCGCAAGTCGGCAGTGTCGCCATCCGGGAGAAAGAGAGCAAGGGTGAGTTGAGTGCGTGGGAGAATAGGTTCGTAGGTGGGTGGGTGAATAGGTTCGTAGGTGGGTGAATGGGTGGGTGTATAGGTTAGTAGATGGGTGAGTGAAGGAGTTGAATGAGTAGGTGGGTGGGTTAAAGGGTGAGTGGGTAATTGAGTGGGTGAACGAATGAACGTGTGGATGAGTGGGTGGGTGGGTGTGTGTGTTAGCGTGCGAGTGGGTGGATGCGTGAGTGAGTTGGTAAATGGATGGGTGAATACCCTATTGGATGGGTGAATACCCTATTGGATGGGTGAGGGGCGGGTGCGCGAGTGGTGAGTGAGCGAGCGAGCGTGGTTGTTGTCGAGTGCAGGCCATGAAGAACCCTCCGATGTGGAGATCCCAGCGTTCTGTGGGCTCCCACCGTCTTCGGGCCGTTCGGTGGGGAAGGCGGAGAGGTCCGAGCGGAGGGAGCGGGCGGCCATGGAGCCTCCGATTTCCCCGTCGCAGGTGACTTGCTCACGGTGCCATATTCACCCAGCCCCCAGCGATTCACCCCCAGCGGAGACTAGATTCCGTCACTTGCCATGATCCAGTGTCGCGAGTTTGCACGCGTGTACCTATGTGTGTCTGTATGTATGTGTGTGTGTGGTGCTGGCCACCCACTACCCCTCGTGCACCGTGTTGGCCTTCATAGGTGCTTGCCAACAGCACTTGCCCCGACAGTCTGTTAAGGCTATATGGGGGAGCTTGTGTCTATGTGTGTGGGGAGCACAGCAGTATAGTGGTTAGCGTGCTGCACTGTGAACCTGGCGACCCGAGTTCGATTCCCGCTCACGGCTAACACCAGTGACGATTATCTGAACCGGTCCTGGGCCTCCCCTTGGTCAACTCGGCCTCAAATCAGTACATATTCTTTGGGTCTTTCGGTAAAGTCACGTAGATAGGTTCAAAGAAAACAACAAAAAAATTACAAAAAATTACGACGTTTCGATCACAACACAAGCGATCGTCATAAGGAGGAAAAAAGAGGGGGAAAGCTGCTGAGGCAGACTGTTTTAAAGGTTTAAAATGGGTGTAGCCCAAGGGTCATAAACGAAGTGGGCGGGGCTAGTTATGTTAATGTGAGAAATTAGCATGTTAATGTAAGATCGGAGAGCGAACGTAGAGTGGATGCCTGGATGGCATCTGTCTCAAAATTTTCCATGAAAACATTGGCTACAACTGGAGATAAGGGAGAACCCATTGGGGTACCTTCAACTTGTTTGTAGAAAGTTCCATTCCAGGTGAAGTATGTGTTGGTGAGGCAGTGTCTCACCAGGGCCGGTACATCAGCATTCAGTCCTTGTGGACCAAGTCTTCAATGATTGCAATGGTGTCAGGCACAGGAACTTTGGTAAACAAAGAGACCACATCGAAACTAACGAGCAAATCACCTGGAGATAGTGAGATGTCCTTAATTAGCGATACCAAGTGAGCTGAGTTGAGTACAACTGAGGTGGTCTTACCAGTGAATTGTTGTAAGGTCTCAGACAGAAATCGGGCCAATTTGTAGGTGGGTGAATCAATGGTGGAGACAATAGGACGAAGGGGTGTACCTTCATGGATTTTTGGTAAGCCATACAAATCTGGGTGGTCTAGCAGCAGAGGGTTTTAAGGAAAACCGCTTGGTTGGTTGGATTAGAGATGTCGAATCGGTGATGATATTGTTGGTTTTCGTAACGAGGCTGTTGGTGGGATCTCTTTTAATTGTCGTATAGCTACCATCATTAAGTAGGTCCTGAATGTTGTTATTGTATGTGTTTTTGTCCATGATGGCTGTGGCATTGCCCTTGTCGGCTGAGAGGATGACGATGTCATCTCTCTTTTTTAATTGGGAAAGCTCTAAGCGATCATTATTACTAATGCTGCTAATAGGTGTCTTTAGCCTTTTTTGAGGCTTGCAGCGATTTACGATCTGCCACGTCTGCAGTGATGTGTCCCAAACCCTTAAGGGCTACGTCGACCTGGGCAATGATATCATCAACTGGGATGTGTTTAGGAGTGACTGCGAAATTCAGCCCTTTAGCTAGGCTGTCGGAAATTAGACCGCTACTCTGATTGATAACAATCTTGTCACCGTCTAACTTTTTAACGTGCGGATCTGATTTCTTCTTGGACAGGAGGTTGAACTTGGAAATCAGGTTATCTTTGCATTTAACTGACATTGAGGCGTCTGAAGAGGCTGTCATGTTATCTACATGTTCCCAATAAGATGTAGACATTTTTTCCGTCAATGTTAAGTGTGATTTTCAAGAGTCTTGTCTAAATTATCTTGTTCAAATCGGAGCAATCTTATTTTCTCTGGGATCAGGGCTAAGCCGGCCCTGAACATTATCCGTTTAGCATTGATCGAGTCGCACACATTCCTGAAGAGATGCCGCGACACCAAGGTAATACTGATCACCTTTACATTGACATCTGCTGCTGTCACTTCTCCCAGTGCTAAACCGGTCTACGTGACTTTACCGAAAGACCCACAGAATATGAATTCCTGCAGTCACGAAAGCTTTAAGTCAGGATTCAAATGAGTCCCTGGTGCGGTGTGTAAACATCGCCACTGAGGAGACGAAGGCGGCCCGGTGTGGTGCTGGCCACCCACCCCCTCGTGTGCCGTGCCAGGCCTTGATAGGAGCTCGCTAACAGCACTTGCCCCTACAGTCTGTTACAGGCTACACGGGGAATCTTTGTACGCGAACGCGTGCGCGTCTGTCTGTGTGCGCGTGCATCTGCGCGTTTGCGTGCGCTTCTAATAACGCGTGTCCCGCGTTCGCAGCCCGACACCCCCCTGTCGAGGAAGCGGAGCATCCGCTTGGCGCGAGAGGTACCGGGAGGAGCGCAGGGGCAGTGGAACAACAGCACGGGGAAGGTGGCCGTGCGATCGGGCGACCTGCAGCGGCTCGATGGCTTCCTCTTGCACAAGGTGAGTGTGGCGCCTTTGCACCCTCGCAGTCGTGACCCGCTCAGAACCAGTCTCCGATCGCCGTAACGATTGTCCCGTGCGGCTCGCCCGATGCGTGGATCAGGTTGTATACCGCGGTTGTTGTTGTTGTTGTTGTTCGGCGAGATGTCATCTCCCTCGCCCGGTGTACAGGAGGTCGTGGGTTCGATGCCGAACCTTGACGTCTGCTGTATATTTGGAGTTTGCGGTGTTCTCTCTCTCCCCGTGGTCACGTGGACTTTCTCCGGGTGCTCCGGTTTTTCTCTCCACATCTCGAATCAACAACGTCACGCGTTTAGAGTCTTTGGCTGCTATAAATTCCCACGCGACGATAAGCCACTTCTCGTTGAGCTATCATTTGTGATGGCCAGGTCGCTTCTGAAAAAAGAAAAAGCTCAGAGTGAGCCTGAGCTGGTCAAATGAAAAATAGTTTTTCGTTTTCTCTGCCCCCTCCTCATGTCTCGGTTTGTGCTCTGTACCGGGCTCATGTTGAAATACAATAAAAACATGAACAGTAAACGTTAGCTTTTAGTTTTAATTGTATTTAGCCACCGCGTGCGCTCTTTCCGTTTGTATCAGATCAGCGATCTCCTTGTGGATCCCTCCCAAGACTCGGAGGCGGACGTCCTCTTCAAGAACGCCCTCAAGGATTTCCGTGGCAACGTCCAGAGCCTCTACTCGGCCTCCCTGGTCAGTGCCGCTTAGCGCGCGTCAAAGACAAAGATAGCTCCCGTCATAGCCTCAGCAGGCTGTTTAGAGCAAGTGCTGTTGGCGAGCACCTGTGAAGGCGTGGCCCAAGGCACGCGAGAGGGAGTGGGGTGGCCAGCACCACGACCGCCCGCCTTTGTCCCCCCAGTGGCGATGTTTACAATCACGTGAGGCCCTCGTTTCAGGCTGAGTTAACTCTGGAGGTAAACCCAGGACTGGCTCAGATAATGGTCACTGGTGTTGGCCGTGGGTTTGAAGTCAAACTCGGTTCGCTGGGTTTGTAGGGCGGTTCGCCAACCTCCACACTGCCGCCCGCTACCTGGATTCGAACATAGGTTGTCAGCGGTGCCGGCTAAGCGCTCGGACCTCTAAACCATCCGTCCACCTCCCGGCGTCGTCGCGCGACGTTGAACGCCGTCGTATTGGCTCGGTCCGTTTCTCCCTCCCGACGCAGCGGACGGAGGTGACGGCGTTGACCTACAAGGACCTGGTGGACAACTTCACCCGGGTGCTGGAGAAAGGGGTCCCCTCGGGGGCCGTACGACGGACAACCAGGAGGGCGGCTCGTGGGATGAAGGGGGACGCGGGGGGCACGGGGGGCACGGGACGCCCGTGCCTGCCCGTGCCGATGGGCGTGAACACCATGCAGGTGTTGATCGACGAGTTTGTGAGAGAGGCGGCGCGGGAGGAGGAGGCCCTCAACAGCAAGGTGAGGAAGGTGGTGGGTGAGGTCGTGATGGACGAAGCGATGGAGGTTAGTGGTGGTGGCGGTGATGATGATGGTGCTGTTGGAGGTAGGGGTGTTCGTGGTGATGGGAGGTTGTGGTGGTGAAGGTGGTAGTGATGGTGATTTTGGTGGCGATGGTGGTGATGGAGGTGGTTGCGGTTGCGATGGTGGAGGGGGTTGTGGTGATTCATGGCCGTGGTCATTGTGATGGTGGTGATGGAGGAGGTGATGGTGCTGTTGGTGATGTTGGAGGTAGTGGTGGTGGCAAACCTGTCAACCCCTTATCAGTGCCTACCTTATTACACACCAATTCAGACCTTATTGGTCACCCCCTGCCCTTGAAACGGCTGTGCGCCGAATGGACCTTGAAACTCAATTTCCCTGTACAAGAATGCGGGTGAACCGTATGGGTTGACGGGTAGTGATGATCAGGGCTGTGGTTGTTAATGGTGATTGTAACCATAGCAATACAAACGGACTACAGGCGGGTCCCCGCCTTTACGACGCCGCAATGAATTCCTGGTAACTGCCGTCGTAAATCGGACTGTCGAAAATGGGACCCTACTTTCCCGTAGACAGGTAGAAACAGTGGAAACATCACTTGCCCCCGACGTGTCTTTCCTTTAATCGGCCGTGTTTAACAGGGTTGAACGGGTAAAAATCAGCTAAAGGATTTGAGAATAGCAAAAGCTCCATGCCAAATCACATCGGAAACCAGGCCGACTCTGCTCAAATGTGTTTGAACATTCTGACCCCGTATCGCTACTGGACATCTGTGAAAAAGAGCTTCATAGCTCATCGGATTCCTCGAGTATAAATAATTATTCTGATTCTGGTCGGAGTCGTGTCGGGAGATGCGTCGCAAATCAAGTTTGAGTGTCGCATATCGATCCATGGTGGTATTGTATAACCGTCGTGATAAATGTGGATCGTGGTAAATTGGACGTCGTAAGGCTGGAAGCCCGCCTGTGTATATATAAACACATTCGACGTCAATGTTCTCCGCAGGTGGCCAGATTTGACAAGAAGAAACGGAAAAAGAAGGAAATGGAAAATGTGAGTTGTGAGTTATGAGCTATCATCACGTGTGGCCATAATCCAGGTTTTTTTTTTGGTTAGATTTGTCCCTCCACGTAAAATAAAAAGTATATTTTTGACACAACCCATTGGTCAAACACTATTACATTGATTTAACACGTAGGAGGCTTTCGCGAGCAATATCATCCATGACAGTTTATTTTTGGGTTATATCGTGTAAATATAGAAAAGTGTCGTTAAACCCGCCACCACCCAACACGGCCAATTCGTCAGGTTTGTCACGTAAACAGAACGTGCCAATTCGTTACTAGTACAGCACACCGGTGTGTTGGAGAGTAAATCCACACCATTTACAAACTGAGCACGACGTTTCGCCAATAATTACGAGCATCATCAGGCAGACGGCCAGATTTGTGGAGGAATCCTCCCGTTTCGTTCCTTAAATAGAGGGATAGATGTAATGACGTCACTTTTGAGCACTTCACGTGCGGAGGGTTGGGGATTAATGAACGCATATACATTACAATGGGTATCCACGTGTGGCCAGGTCACCTCTGGTAAAAAAGAGCTAATGGCTCGGTGAGTTTCACCCGGTAAATACATGAATAGATATAAATAGTACTTTGAATTGTTTTACTGTTGACTATTGGCCTTTGTTGCAGCAACACCCCTTCTAGGTCAGGTCACATACGGTACTTCTCCATCGATCATTCACGACGACGATGTTGTTAACGGTGTTGATGACGATAGTCATGTTGGTGGTGCTGATACTGCTGTTGATGATGATGATTATCGTGATGCGTTTGGTGCTAACCTTGATGCTGGCGATTATGATGTTGCTGATGCCGCCACTCATGACGATGATGATGATTTTGGTGCTGCTGATGATATTTATGATGATACTGATGATGCTGCTTGTGATTAATGATTCTAATAATAGTGCTGTAGATGATGCTGCTGTTACTGGTGATGATGCTTATGATGATGATCCTATTTGTGAAGATGATGCTTATGATGATGATGATGACGCTGCTCGTGTTGACGACGATGATCGTCACCGCCATTCTTTTCTGTGCCGATGCCGCTGATGACGACACCATTGGTGACTGTCGACGTGACTCAGTGGTAGCGCGTTTGCTGCTTCTTGCAGAGGTTCACGGTTCAAAGCCGGTGGTCGCCCTGATTAATACTGCGGGTGTAATAACCACCGCCAACATCATGACGACGTTGATGTTGGCGGCGGTGACTGTGATGTTGTGGTGGTGGTGATGATGACGATGACGACGATGATATTATCGGTCGGTGGTGACGGTGCGGCAGGCGGAGGAGAGACTGGGCCACGCGTTCCGGAACGTCCAGTTCAACATCCCAACGTCGTGTGAGCAGTGCGGAGCGTTCATGTGGATGATGGACCGAGGATACGTGTGCAAGCGTACGAGGCGCACTTGACCCCTTCCTCTCTCGCAATAGTCTGTTGCATCTCCTAAAAATCTCTCATTATCTCTTGAGCGTGGCAGTGCCGAGCGTCACTCCCACGTGTGCGTGGGTGGGTTTCCGTCGAGCTACCCCTGGTTGTTTCTTCGTCATTGTCGCCACCCTCCGGACTCCCCTAAGCATCGTTTTTTTCTTCTTTTCATGTGTATATATATATTTAATTGAGATCCCGGTACAGAGAACAAACCGGGACGCAGGGAAAGGGGGATAACAGAAGTAGGTCTCGAACTCTGTGCCTCCTGGGTTTTAGATGAGGGAGGGCGATTTGGGCTCCCTGACCCACCCAAATGGGGACCGCGAGTGGGGAACTCAAGTAAGAGGGTAGAGGGAGTGGGGAGGAGTGAGTTGGGGGGGGGACCTTTCTTACATCTTTAATATTAGCACCTACTGGCACGGGTCATGAACGTGCAGAGCAGGCTTTGGGAGCGGCCCCTTGTGAACTTCCCCTGCCACCTGACTTATCCCACGCTCTCACCATGATACGCCACTTCCTTCCCTGCACCACGGGACGGGTGCAGCGTTGACTCTAGCCACAGCATCTTAAAGGCGATGATAAGTGGCCGTCAATGTGACCAACGGAGAGAGGGTATAAAAGTAGAGGAGTGTCACTTCATCTGCAAGGGACTTTTTTCTCTCTCCGCCTGATGAAGACCGCTTGTATTGTGATCGAAAACGGGTTTTTTTTGCTTTTATTATTTTCATGTTATTTTTTTTATTTGTTTTTTACTTTTTTTATTGTGGGTTTTTTGCTGTTTTAATTTTTAATGTATTATTGAAATTGTAATTTTGTTTTATTATTTTGTTTTAATAATTTTATTTTTGTCTTCTATTTACGTAATTTTGCCGAAAGAACCAAGAATATGGGACTTTCATTTTTTCTTTACTTTACCTGTTCGTCTTGTGCGTACGTTTTCATGTTACACGGCTGTTATTCGGGTGCCGTGTAAATCCATTGAGTGTTGTATTTTGCTCCCCTCTTGTTGTTGCCCAAACGCAGTGTGCAAATACACGTGCCACAGGCGGTGCTGCGAAAGAGTCCTCATGCCCTGCCCGGGCTCCTTCCCCTCCGGACGCAGGGTAAGACGCAAGGATACCATTCAGGTTTCCTTATTCACGTTATCACGGTGGGCTTGTTATTTTGAATTAACCAGCCCAGGTGACAACTTGAAAGAGACCAGGTTATAGTCTTCATTTACAAGGGTGAACCCCGGTCACCGAAACGACAGAGGCAATATCGTAAAGCAAAGCGCGGTTTGTCGAGCGACAACGCAACCCCGTGTATAGCTCACGCAGTGCTCGTATTGAGCACCTAATGGAGGCTGGGGAGGCACACGGGGAGGGCATTGTGCGGCCACGCCCGGCTGCCTGCCTTTTTCTACCCATGCTGATGTTCACACACCGCAACAGCTACTGATTTTAAGGCCGAGTTGACCTAGGGGGGGAGGCCCAGGACCGGGTTGAAATATTCGTCACTGATATTGACCAGTTGAGTGGGAATCGAACTTGGGCGGCCGGGTTCGTAGCGCAGCGTGTGCGCCAACCGCTGCGCCACCGCTCCCCGCAAGCAAACGCACGTACACACTCCTCCACGCATAACCCCACCTCTAACGCCAACCCCGCTCCACCCCGCGCCAGTGTCAATCGGTGCCGCTGCGCCACCACCCCGTGCCCGTACGCCTAACCGTTCCCCCCCCCAACCCCCTCTCCCCACCGTCCGGCAGTACGAGCCTCACGTTCTGGACGGCAGTGCCCGGCCGCCGACGCTGGCCTCGTACGGCGGCCGCCACTTCGGCGTGCCGCTAGCGCTGCTCGCGTGTCCGTCACGCGCCGTGCCCGAGGTGCTGGAGCGGCTCGTGCGGCACGTGGAGACGCAGGGCCTCTACTGCGAGGGCGTCTACCGCAAGTCCGGCTCGGCCAACCGTGCCCGCCGCCTCCGCAGTGAGCTGGAAGCCGGTGAGACCAGCTCCTCCTCCTCCTCCTCCCGCCGCGTGCCTACCTGCGTATCTAGCTGCCTCCCCACCTAGCGGTCTACCTTCTTATCTGTGTATACATCCTCCTGTCCTCTGAAATGCCTACCTATCTATCCACCTACTTGGTTGTCCGCGAATCGCCATTTATTTTTTATTTAGCCAATGCTATTTCACGCGACTTCCCACAGTCAAAACACCAGATACATTTACAGAATATATATAGATAGATAAATACATCACTTGTATTTAAGTGGACGTCAGCCCACATCGCCACAGAGCCATTATGTAACCTCCTCTTCCAGCACGTGCAGGGAAACCAGTCCGCTCGGCACACCCTGACGCACTTCGCAGGCGAGGACGATGTGTGCCACGGTCTCCTGCTCCCCGCATTCCCACAGTAGTGGGCTGTCACGTGGGGCCCCATCAATGTTTTGAAGCAGCAACGCACTCCCTGGTCACACCGGAAGCGGTTTAACTGCACTTACAGGAGACACCCGCCGCCACTTAACTGGCCACACTCGAATATATACGAAAAGCCACCTGATGCCTACGCTCTTGCCGCTGCTGTTGCCGCCACCGCTGCTGTTGTTTTGCTGGTGGCAGATGTGAACGGCGCGTCCCTGGAAGGCTACCAAGTCCACGTGGTGACGGGCGTCCTCAAGCAGTGGCTCCGCGAGCTGCCCGAGCCGCTGTTCACCTACGAGTACTACCACGACTTCCTGCGCGCCGTCGGTAAATAAAACCCCAGCTTCGGTTTCTCTCGCGCGTGTTTTCACGAATCGGATGCACTGTTCCATCGAGAAACCTGGAAGAGGGAGTAGGAGCCAAAGCTCGTCGGGTCTAAAACGTCGGACACCGTGCCGAACAACACGCGATACAACTTAATAACAGCATCATGAACGGCCACGGTCAGTCCACTGCTGGATTAAGGCCTCCCCAATCCGACACTGATGCCGCCACCATCACCTTTCGCGATCCTGTAAAGCCAGCAGTGCGTGGTTAGAGCAAGTGACTGCAGGCCTGTACTTTCACCTCTTTATATAGAGGTGGCTAGGTGGCACGAGTCAGAGAAGTTTAGATGGGGTAATTTTTGCTCATCCGGTGTAGGGCACATTGAGTTAAAAAGCGGGGTGGGGTGATGACCGCGATGTAGGGCGCCATGGTGGCTAGATGTTAACTACCTCGCCTGGTATGCAGGAGGTTGTGCGTTCGATCCCAACCCTGACACCTGCTGTATATTTGGAGTTTGCATGTTTCTCTCCCCGTGGTCGCGTGGATTTTTCTCTGAATCCTCTGGTTTTTCCCTACACATTTATAACCAACATGCGTTTAGAGTATTTTTCTGCTATAAATTTCCAAATATCACTAGCATCCTTAATGAGCTAGCCGTACAGTAGAACCGTGCGTGAACACCTACGCAGCCGCAACATCAAGCCCCAGGATAAAATTATCATGAAATTACTTGTATTTCAGATTTGTGCAGGCCTGCTTAATTAAACCATGATAACTGAATTGTGGTGTGACTGCATATGTGCCTTCATCAAGAAGTTGTTACATATGTCGCCACACCATTTCGGTCTCCATACCATTGAGCAATGTTACACAATGGTATGCGTCACCTCCGATTAGCACGGTTGGCCATTTATGGTGCAAAAGAAATTCAACATACGTACAGTGAGGGAAAAAAGTATTTGATCCCCTGCTGATTTTGTACGTTTGCCCACTGACAAAGAAATGATCAGTCTATAATTTTAATGGTAGGTTTATTTGAACAGTGAGAGACAGAATAACAACAACAACAAAATCCAGAAAAACGCATGTCAAAAATGTTATAAATTGATTTGCATTTTAATGAGGGAAATAAGTATTTGACCCCCTCTCAATCAGAAAGATTTCTGGCTCCCAGGTGTCCTTTATACAGGTAACGAGCTGAGATTAGGAGCACACTCTTAAAGCTTGTTACCTGTATAAAAGACACCTGTCCACAGAAGCTATCAATCAGATTCCAAACTCTACACCATGGCCAAGACCAAAGAGCTCTCCAAGGATGTCAGGGACAAGATTGTAGACCTACACAAGTCTGGAATGGGCTACAAGACCATTGCCAAGCAGCTTGGTGAGAAGGTGACAACAGTTGGTGCGATTATTCGCAAATGGAAGAAACACAAAAGAACTGTCAATCTCCCTCAGCCTGGGGCTCCATGCAAGATCTCACCTCGTGGAGTTGCAATGATCATGAGAACGGTGAGGAATCAGCCCAGAACTACACGGGATGATCTTGTCAATGATCTAATAGTTTAGTTTCATAGTTTCATTTATTTGGTATAGCCCTGTGAGCCATTCGGCTCTTGAATCGGGTGCAACCGCAACAAACAAAAAAACAAAAACATGAACAAGAAAACATCTTAAAGTGACTTTGTGTGACTGTGCAAACAGAAAATCCAAGAAAAAACATCAAAATATTCATGAAATAGCACCGTACACCAACACTGTATGCAAAAATCCCTGTGGGATGCAAGTCAAACAACAACAACAAGAACACTTAGATTAAGCCCATCAGTCTAACTCCGTACTACAATAAACAAAAACATGGCCAAACCAAAAAACTTTTAGAAATCACCAAAATAAAGCCATAAATGCAATGTAACAGTGATCATAGGAACTGTGACCGAATTTTTAACAATAAACTACATAAATATCATGTAACACCAAACCCTAGAGCCACAGCTGGCTGCATGAGTCACTCCACAAACAACAGGAGCATTAGTCGGAGTATCACATTTTTCAATGCACCTTTAAGATCAGCACACTAAATCAAAATACAGATAATACTTTGCAGCGGTCATCCGGAGCGAAACATTTTATTTTATTTTAGGCCACTGAATAGCAGTGGCAGCTAGGGGTGTACAACTCCTCTAGAGCAGTTTTGAGTGAAGATCTCATAGGTAGTGATTCAAGTTGCAGTTTATTGGCAATAGCATTCCAGACCCTGGGGGCATCAATAGCAAAGGCCCTTCCTCTGGTTTTTGTACGGCAATAGGGAATGTGAAGCTGGTAGATGAGCGAAGACCTGAGGTCAAATTTGTTTCTCAAGGCAGCTGGGACCATAGTCACCAAGACAACAATTGGTAACACACTACGCCGTGAAGGACTGAAATCTTGCAGCGCCCGCAAGGTCCCCCTGCTCAAGAAAGCACATATACATGCCCGTCTGAAGTTTGCCAATGAACATCTGAATGATTCAGAGGACAACTGGGTGAAAGTTTTGTGGTCAGATGAGACCAAAATGGAGCTCTTTGGCATCAACTCAACTCGCCGTGTTTGGAGGAGGAGGAATGCTGCCTATGACCCCAAGAACATCATCCCCACCGTCAAACATGGAGGTGGAAACATTATGCTTTTGGGGTGTTTTTATGCTAAGGAGACAGGACAACTTCACCGCATCAAAGGGACGATGGACGAGGCCATGTACCGTCAAATCTTGGGTGAGAACGTCCTTCCCTCAGCCAGGGCATTGAAAATGGGTCGTGGATGGGTATTCCAGCATGACAATGACTCAAAACACACGGCCAAGGCAACAAAGGAGTGGCTCAAGAAGAAGCACATTAAGGTCCTGGAGTGGCCTAGCCAGTCTCCAGACCTTAATCCCATAGAAAATCTGTGGAGGGAGCTGAAGGTTGGAGTTGCCAAACGTCAGCCTCGAAACCTTAATGACTTGGAGAAGCTCTGCAAAGAGGAGTGGGACAAAATCCCTCCTGAGATGTGTGCAAACCTGGTGGCCAACTACAAGAAACGTCTGACCTCTGTGATTGCCAATAAAGGTTTTTCCACCAAGTACTAAGTCATGTTTTGCAGAGGGGTCAAACACTTATTTCCCTCATTAAAATGCAAATCAATTTATAACATTTTTGACATGCGTTTTTCTGGATTTTCTTGTTGTTATTATTCTGTATCTCACTGTTCAAATAAACCTACCATTAAAATTATAGACTGATCATTTCTTTGTCAGTGGGCAAACGTACAAAATCAGCAGGGGATCGAATACTTTTTTCCCTCGCTATACATACATACGTCAGCAGTGAGTAGAGTTGTAATGTTCACAGGTTGTAGTTCTGTACAAACGACTTGGTGTAGACTAGGTTTCTTAAAACAGCTAGAAACTCAGTGGGCCTTACCTGGTAAAATAAAAAAAAAATTGTTTAAGTTTAATTTTAGTTTGCTGGGTGAGCAAAAACACAGGGTGGAAGACTTCTGCGATGAGCAGCAAACGTTCTACCGCTCAGCCTCGTGACTGGCCACCCTCATTTTCCTCTTCCCCTATGTATGTATCTATGTTGAACTTCTTTCTCACCGTACATAGCCAACCGGTCTCACCGGAGGTGCCTGGGAAGAACAACAACCTAAAAACAAAAATCAATTTTACAGAATGAGTTTTCAATCTACGTTTAAAAGTGCACAGCTCCAGTGGCCTCCTAAATATCAGAAGGAAGAGCGTTCCAGACGGCCGCAGAAGTGGATCTGAAAGCGTGCGATAATGCGGTGACCGTCTTTTTTGGATGGTCAGCCGTAGCGAGAATGACTGGAGATTGCGTGATGGTTCACGCTCCTTGATAAAATCAGCAAGGTATTGTGGTTCAAAAGCAAGGTATCGTGCTTATTTGTTGGAAGTTGGAGGTCACGTGATCTCGCTGAGGGTCTCTGTCTCTCTTGCACCCTCTGCCCACAGAGCTCCCGGACAAGAGAGAGCAGGTCCGATGCGTCTACTCGGTTATCGATAAACTACCACAGCCTCACCACAGCGCCCTGCAGAGGCTCATTTTCCACCTTGTTCGGTGAGTGGGTATCCCCTTGCGAGCCTGCAGGTGTCTTCGCGTACGTTTGTGTGTGAGGAGCGGTAGTGGAATGGTTAGTGCGCCGCGCTACGAACCCGGAGACCCGAGTTCGGAACCCGCTCACGGCCACCAACACCAGTGACGATTATCTGAAGCAGTTGTGGGCCTCGCCGAGGTCAACTCAACCTCAATTGATATACCTGGTGCGATGTGTAAAAACAATGACATTTGGGAGACAAAGGTGGCAGGGCGTGGTTCTGGCCACCCACCCCCTGTGCCTTTCCGGCTTTCATAGGTGTCCGCGAACAGCACTTGCCCTAACAGTCTGTTAATGTTATACTGGGGGATCTTTGTATTTGTTTGTGTGCGTGAAAAGCACCAGGTTGACTCGTAGTGGAGAGCACATCGGCCGGTCATCGCAGCCGCTTCGGAATCTTTATTTAAACTGGAGGAGGAATCTGAGGAAGCCACCGATATTATCCTTACCTGCCAAACCTTTAATCCCTGCTTACGCCGCTGCTCTTGCTCCAAGGCCGAGGCCTTGGACACGGTGGAGGCCCTGAGTGCGCGCCGTCCATGTTCTGCGTCCCCCTGTGCAGGGTCGCGCAGCAGGAGGAGACGAACCGCATGTCGGCGTCGGCGTTGGCTATCGTGTTCGCGCCGTGCGTGCTGCGTGGCAGAGACGGCAGGGACCCGCTGCTCGGCATGCGGGAGGTCGCGCACGCCACCGCGTACGTCCCATTGCTCGTCCGTCCCGTGTTTTTACGACGCACGCGTACGCACGCACGCAACGCAACACAACACAACACGCGTACGTCGACCCAGGGGCCAGGCCAGTCTGCGCATGTGCATATTTGTGGGTGTGTGCGCGCTTGCATGTGTGTATGTGAATTGCATGCGTGCGGGGAGCGGTAGTGTAGCGGTTAGCGCTGCGCTGCGCTATGAACCCGGCGGCCCGGGTTCGATTCCCGCTCACGGCCAACACCAGTGACGATTATCTGAACCGGTCCCGGGCCTCCCCTAGGTCGACTCAGCCTCAAATGAGTACCTGGTGCGGTGTGTAAACATTGCCACTGGGGAGACAAAGGCGGTCGGGCGTGGTGCTGGCCACCCACCCGCTCGTGTACCGTTCCGGCCTTCATAGATGGTCGCTAACAGCACTTGCCCCTACAGTCTGTTAAGGCTATATGGGGGATCTTTGTTTTTATCTTTGTGTGCGGTAGTGTCATGGTAGTGGAGAGAGGTGGTTAACGCACTGCACTACACACCCGGCTACCCGAGTTCAACTCCCGCTTGCGTCAAATACCAGTACCGATTATCTGAACCAGTCCTGGGTCCCCACCTTAGATCGACTCCGCCTCAAATGAGTATCTGATACGGGGTGTATAAAACATCAGCACTGAGGGTAGGGCCGTGAGGCTGGCCCCCCCACCTCTTCCGTGTGCCGTCCCATCCTTTGTACGTGCTCGCTTAACGGTGCTTGTAATCTGGCTATGATAGGCACCCGCTTAACCGAACCTGTCCTTGCGTGCGCAGCTGCCTGGAGCTCATCATTGGGGAGCAGATGACCCGCGTGCAGTCGATCCTCGCCGACATCGCGTCGCTCGACACTGCACACGAGGCAGCTTCCCACCGCTTGCTCCTGGTCCTGCAGTCGCTGGTGAGACACCTGACGCAGCCATTTGCCACGTTGCATGAAGGGGAAAAGCTACAGCTCGGCAATTTCAAGATGACAGCTGTTTTTTTCCGGGAGGCTCGACCGAGGCACACGTGGTCAGATGTCAGCCCCGCCCACGTTTGCACGGCCACGCCTACTTTTGCACAGCCACGCCCCCATCGAGCACTAGCGCGGCCAGGGCAGGCAAACACGCCGCGGCCACAGTGCCAGGGTTGGAGCGATTGAGGCCCAACACCAACAGCTTCAGCGGTTCGGCACGTGTCGTGAAGAACCCTAAAGGTGGCCAGCACGTGGTGGCGCAGCAAAGTGTGTATGTTGAACCTCTTTCGCACCCTATGTAGCCAACCGTGCTGATAGCAGGTGCGGGGAAAGGACGCCAAACTTAAGGGTTGCCGACACGTCCGGTCTGAGTTTTAGATTGCCATTGCCTCGTCCCCTCGGTGGAGAAGTTTTTGTTTCCCTCCCGGCTACTCCAGTTTCCTCCTTACCTGCATCACGCATGCACTGCATTAAAAAAAACGAGACTGACGAAATATCCTTCTTGCGTGGCTCTTCTGAAGAGGGCGATTTAAAAAAAAATCCGACCGAGGTTTTGAGAATGATTGAGGCTTTTCTGGAATAACATTGGGCATTTGTTTATTCATTCATTCATTTGTGTGTGTCCGGAAATGTTGAACTTCTTTCCCACAGTACGTAGCCAACCATGCTAATCGGAGGTGCGGGGGAAGGACGATATGCTAAACACAAAAAAGCCATTCCTGAAGAAATTAAGTTTTCAATCTAGATTTAAAAGTGAATAGGTCCGGTGGCTTCCTACAATGGGATGTATTTATCGGATGCGTTGCGGCTTTCGATGTCAATCCAGGAGAGCGTCAAGGGTAAGCCGGCTACGGCGGACGAGGGCGCGGGTGGCAGGGTGGAAGGTTTGACCCCCACGGAGGAGATTCCGACCCTGTTCGATCAAGACGCCACAGCCATCCGGGACGAGGAGCGCATCTTACGCAAGCAACTGCAGTCCATTCAGGAGGAACGGTTCGTGAACGCACTAACAAAAAAAATCATCACTCTCATTAACCGTCTCGGCTCCCTTTCATTCACCGCATTCCCTCGTGTCGTGTTGGTAGCTGAGACATTTGTCCGTCTTCGCTGGCCCGCACAAGCAGGCGCTCTCGCAGGCTTCCGCCGGCTATTCGCCGTGCCGACCCACAACCAAAGCTGCGCTGCGACGGCTGGCAGGGGCAGTCGGTACGAGTCAAACGCGGTGTCCGCCGCGTCGATCCGCTCTGCGAAGCGACTCGTTCGTTGCGCGTGACGTCGGCGGCTCGGGTCCGCAGGGGCGGCCGTGCGCATTGTGGGGGTGGGGGAATAACCTGAGCCGCGCCAGAATTTGTGTCGGGAACGGCCTCGGTCGTGCGGTGGAAAAGAAGAAGAAGAGGAAAGAAGAACGTCTTTGTGTCCGCAGGGAGGAGCTCTCGTACGGGATGCTCGCCCTGGAGCCCTGCGGATCCGACGAGGAGACGCTGGACTCCGGCGCGTCCCTGGGCACGGCCGACAGCGCCGAAAACATCCTGCAGGGTCAGCTCGTGACGCACGCACGCGAGGATGCCACGGGTTGTGCGCCTATCCGGCCTACTCCTCGGCTCCTGTCATACAACAGATACACAATACCCTCAGCCCAGATGATTTTTAACCTCCCCCCCCCCCCTCCACATTTCCCACACTTCTGCTTTACTTTCCCTGCGGAAGGGCGCCTATCCGGCCTACGCCTTGACTCCTGTCAGATACCAGATACGGAATACCTTAGGCCAGATGATTTTTAACCTCCCCTCCCCACAATTCCCACGCTTCTGCTCTAATTTCCCAACTCCACAAGCTCCCCCTCTCTACTATGACTGTCTATTTAAATGTATCACTCTCATCTACAATCTCTCCATGGTTTTTCCCCACATCTTGCTTCATCTTAATCTCTTACTACTCTAAACCTGCTTACATTCCTCCCTTCAAACAACCCCATCTCTTCTCTCCTAGCCCATCATCCTGCTTTTACTCCCTGCCCCCATGCCTCAGCTACGAGCAGGCCTAGCCCAACCACTACCCCTATCGCTACCCCAACCCTTATCGCTATCCCAACCCCGATCACTACCCCTCCTTAACCTATCCCGCCTGTCCTGTCACCATAACTACACCACTACCACTTTTAATAACAACCCCACTCTTCATCTCAACCACGATCATCTGATGTACAATTTAATAATTGTTGAAAAGCACCTTAGAGTGAGGTGCTATATATATCTACGTAAAATAGATGGTTGGGTGCGCTGACGTTTTGTGCGTGAATGTTTTTAAAGAGCAGGGTGTACCTAGGAAAAATATCATACATCATGGCCAGATGATTTTGAAGAGCTGGGAGAAACCCATCCTTTGCCCCACTACACACGACCTTCAAAAGTTGACTTGACTGTGTGGTGTATCTATTTATATTGCTGGGTGGATAGATGCCAAGGGATTTAACTGGCACAGCCACAGAGGTGCCCTCCTTCCAAATATTAATGGCTACTTTACCCCAGAACGGTTTGGTATTCTCTTTTAAGCTTTGATAGTGGCCATTAACCCCTTCCCCGTTCATATGACATACTGTGTTACGTCATCGGAACAGAATCAGAAGAAAAACTGTAAATAGTCACTTTATCGGTACGTCTTCAGGTCGGAAGACGTAACCGAGGCTCCCACAAAGCCATGCGGGAGGGCTGTGGCACAGTTTGGCGCTGGCTATCATAGAGTGCGGTCGTGTCGCTACGGTTTTCTGCGGTGAGCGCAACATCTTTAAAAACAGTGGCGCTACGCCTCTCCTAAAAAAAAATAACACCGAACCACTTGCGCGTTTTGAGATTCAGCGGTGAACGGGACAAACCACCTTGCAACTTGCAGTTGTCTCGGAAGGAGAAAGGACGTTTCATATTGAGTATTCGGTAAAACGCACTTGGGCAAGACGCATCACTAGCAGGCGGGACGATGACCGGCGGTCGAGCCTGACCACGGAGTGGCAGCCAACAGGAGGGAAACGCACCCCAAGAGATACTCCACCGTGGTTCGATCATCAGATTCCTCCATCTGATTTTGAAATAGAGATTCTGATTAAGGACCAGAGAGGGGGGAGGGCCCCCTACACACCAAAAGGGGGGAAACCACCGTTCTCGTGATAGGAACGCGCATTTCGAGTGTTTGCCCGCGATAAATTTCCACGTGATGAGCCACTTCGTTTCAGCTGTCAACTGTGGCCAGGTCGCTTCTGAAAAATAAGCTGATAGCTCGGTGGACCTTCCCTATTAAAATAAAAAAAAGTGTCAGTGATGTTCTTGCCTTTCCTATACTCTGCACTCCTATCGCGTTTTTGGATTACGATTCCTTTGAAGGAGGAGGATACTTTTATGATACTTTTGTCTGCGTGCGTTGCAGGCGCTAACTTGGTGAGCTCCTCCGCCTACCCGTGGACCTCCCTCTACTCCGGCACTCCGCTCCCCGCGCTGGCGTCCACCGCCTGCGGCTCGCTTGGCTCCGAGGCCTCTCTCTACTCCTGCTGCTCGGATGATGGCGCCGCTGGCGCCGCTGGCGCCGGCGCCTCGGCAGATCTCGCCCCCGCCTTCCCGGCGCGGCTCCAGCGTCACCGCGAGGCGTGCCGCGCATCGGCGCCGCTCTGCATTCCCACGCGCCGCGACGACCCGGTCGCCCGGGCGGCGGCGGCGGCGGCGGAATCGGCGCGCCGGCAATCGGACCCCACGTTTGACCACGCGGCGAGGGCGGACATCCCCTTCATCGACGACTCGTCGGAAGTGTGAAGCGACGCGCGTGGAGCGCGCGTCGCAGCGAAGGAAGCGAAGGAAGCACGTTCGCGCGCCGTCGCCAGTAGGTGTTTGCCGAAGGGGGAAGTGTCTCCCCGTTCAAACCGCGCAGCGCCGATGTTGGAAGGTTAAAAGGGCCGCGCTCGTTTGGACCCGCCACGGCGCTTGTGTTTCGTTTTGCTGTGCAGTGCTCGAAGAGGTCTTGGAAGTTTGGACGCAAGCGGTTGCTGTTTGCAGAAGGGTAGAGGTTTTCACTGCTCGTTGTCACCCCGTCAAGCACGTGCAGCGTCTTGTCCGGGACACGCTTGTTAGAACCCACGGCACTTCTCGTTTGCTTTTGCTTTGTTGTGCTGCAAATGGGTCTTGAACCCCACCACCAGGATACAAGCAACAGCAACTTGTCTGAAGATCAAACAGAGAAGATGTTCATTGGAACCCACGGCACTCGCTTTTGCTTTTTTTTCCCCGCTCCACCATTGCTGCACTTGAGTATTTAAATCCATCGGAACACCTGCATGCAAGTGGTCTCATTTGTAGAAAAAACCCCGGGGTTTTGCCTACCTCCCTTGGCTGTCTTGACAGAGTGGTGGGTAAGTTCATCCCCCATTGTCTCTGTTGTAGATTTGCTGTACCGTTTCTGCAAAAAGGGTTTTGAAATCCTTCAATAACGCGTGGATACAAGCGGGGTCTGGGGTTCAGGAAGGAAGTGTTGTTTTTCCCCACCTGAGGCAGCTGCACCGTCATCAGAGCAGGTGGGTGACTCGCAGGGAATGTTGAAGTGATATTTTTGTTCAGACCCCAATGAGATTTCGCTCTCCAGTGCTGCAAACGTGTTACACGCTGACTACGCCTTTCAGAACAGTGTCTCGTTGCACAATGTCGAAGTGCAACCGTTGACAGACTGTCGCGAGGTCAAAGCACGGTGCGTGTTCAATCGCATCGGTTTGCCGAGCGGTGCTGCAAATGCTGTCCATTGGAAAACCCTGGGTGCATACGGTCTTGGCAGAAGGACGAGTCCCGCAGCATCAGCATGCTCCTGGCTGCTCCGAGGCGAATGGTGGAAAGTTAATCCCAAAGTTTTTGTTTTGTGCCCTGTACTGCGAATGGGCGTTGAAATCAACTGGGAACACTTGAACTCAAGCTGGCGGTGCTGTGGGCCATTGTCTGTATTCTACCCAAAATCGGCAGGCAATGTCCCCTTCGTAAAAATAGTCTGCAGAAGCTTAAAGTGTGATTTGTTTTTCACGCGAGGACCTAAAAAGCTTCACGTTGCCGCGCAGAGCTGCAAAAACTGCGCTTCGAAATCCGTTGGGTCACCTGGATGCAAACGGTCAACTTGCGGAAGGCAGCGTGTTTCTCGTGCTCTGAAGCGGAGTTGAAAACTCCGCATCCCTATGACCAGGGTCATTCTCTCAATGGCAGAGAAATTAACCTCAGACGGTGGGTGTTTCTGCTGCAAGGGTGAAATGGAACTTTTATTTGCGTGTTTTATTTCAGGCTGAATTTAACAAGCCTTTATTTCTGTCTCAGCGGTGCAGTTCAGATCCTCCGATGCGTCCGCTCGAAGTTTTAAATCCTCCCGCGCTGACGTCCGCGCTCGCGTGATAAAACATCTCAGCTTTTAGAACGTGTTCACGTGCGCAAGGGACGGCGCACGGGACAGTCGAATGCGGGCTGCAAAACGCTGCACTAAAAATGCCTTCATGTAATGCAGTCGCTCACTTGATTCAGCCAAGCACAGCTCCACGGGGCTCACGTTTTTTTTTGTATTTGTCGGGCGATTGCCAACAGGGCAAGCAAATTTTAACAGTGCCGAACTGTCGCCGTATTGTGTTGCGTGAGAGAGGCTCCAATTGTGGCTCCTATCGAAGAGCCCCCTATCGAAGAGTTTCCTATTGAAGCGGCCCCCTGGTGTCATGTTTCAGGGTTCCCTTCCCTGCCCTGACGCGAGGCCCCTGCCAGCCGTGGGAGTTCCGCAAGAAAGTTTCTTCAGCTTGTGACACGATTCTGATAATAGCTCAATTTAGTGGTAAAACTTATAAAAAAAATGTAATCTAATTATAACCTGAACAGAGATTTTAGTAATGAAAGAGTTGTGTGTGCGATCTTGAGCACTGTGTTTGTGACCGTTCATCTGAGCTGCAAATTGTTACCTCGAAGCGTGCGGCAGGGAATTACATTTCTGGCTTCAAATGCCGACTTTTTTTTACGTCCCAGTGTTCTGAGAGAAATTGCTGTTCCCGAAATGAGGATATCCACACCGAGCTCTTTCCATATTAGATGTAACGCAGTAAGCTATTTGGTTTATTATGAATAAAAAATATTTTCTCTACTTTATCTTGCTTGCGCTATTTGCGACGAATCCATCCGGCTGTCTCTCAGAACGGTGCAGACCTCTGTTAGAGAACGGCCCACAGAGGCAGATATTGCAGAGCTATCTCTGAGATCCCTTCATGTGACCTCTCGTTCACACCGTAAAGAGGGCTGCACTTGACAAACCTGCTGTGCATTTGAGAAGCAACGTTCGTCGCAATTCTCAAAGGTGGAGTTTTAAAAAAAAAAAAATCACGCGCAGAACCAAATACAATGTAATTTTAAATTGTACGTGCAGTCAATGGTAACTGGACTGAGACCACCAACTCCGCTACGCTTGAGACACCCGGTTTAATCATGGGCGCCCGCCTGGATTCTCAACCTAGGCCACCTCGGCACTGGTCTCTAAACCAGCGGACAAAACGGGTGGTTCAATTTGTTACCGAAACAGCGATAAAAAAATGCCATCAATATCTGCTTCCGTGGACCGTCGTGGGTGTTGCGCTGCTCTTCAAGAGCGGCAAATGGATTCTACGCCTCACAACGACGCTGACAGCCTGCAGGTCAAAGTTGACAAATAAAACAAATGTGCCCCCCCCCCGCTCAAACGAGGTCTATTTTGGTTTTACTTTCTGAGTGGAGTCTCATGAGCAGTCGTGCGCCTCGATTAGTTTATTGCAAACGTTGTCCCCTCTCGAAAGAGGGGAAAAGCCTCGAGTTGTGGGAATTATGACGTAGGACAAACCTTTCCCGCTCGCGGGTTCTGCAGCCATCGTGGTTTTTGCGCCATATTTTTAGAGGTACGACGGTTCTCCGTTCGCGACCCCCGTGGCTCAACCGTTCGCGGTTGAGCCGCGAGATTCCTGCACGCAGCGTAACTGCGCTGCTCTCGACGATGCTGCTTCCGCTGGAAGAACACGCGCAGCGCCATCTCGCCTCCATCTCGTCTCCCAAGCAGCCCATCACGGGTCCCAGGCCACGCGGCGTTCCCAGCCTCCAGTGAGGAGGAGGAGGAGGAAGCGGTGTGAGGCTCAGCATGGTGATTATTTTTCTTCGTGTAGTGTTCAGTACTCTACGCGGACACGCATGCAGTACTGTACACTACATTAAAAAAAATCATACATTTATCTTGCATGTAATACGGAACACTAGAAAATATTAATCCTATTTTACATTCAAAATACTTGTTTGGGTTGGCGTAGGGTGACATAAAACGCAAGGAGTGGGGTGTGTTGCATCGTGAACCAAAACCTACTTTTCCCGTTTTGCGGATCGCGGATTTTACCGACTGTAGCTCTTTTCAGGAATGTAACCTCCCCCACCGGTGACGGGCAACGGTTTGCAGCACCTTGAACCCCGTGGGACTTGCTAGGCAGGGTTGGTGGATCACACGGAGGTTGACCCATCGATGGAATGAGAGACACTGGCAGGAGGCCGTGGGTTCGATCCCGACCCTTGACACCTGTATATTGGGAGTTTGCATGTTCTCCCCGTGGTCGCGTGGATTTTCTCCAGGTCTTTCGGTTTTTCCCTCCACATTTAGCATCAATGTGCGTATTACGAGTATTTTTCGGCTATAAATTTCCACGCGATTAAGCCACTTCGCTGAGCTATAATTTATAGCTCGGTGGCCCTTACCTGATAAAATAAAAAATATTTTAGTTTCATAGTTTAGTTTCCACCCTCCTGCACACTCATCCCACCCATCGCAACCTCCTCTCCCCGATCACATCGCTTTCCTGCCACGTTATATTGCTTTATCCCAATTCTGCCATGTCATTCCTAATCATGCTCTGTGTGCACCCTCTACCAAATGGCCAGAAGTTGTTATTTGTGTCCAGTTGCTTTGAGTTCAGTTCTGGGCAATTTAAATCCATTGCCGATCGTCCTCAATCGCCATAAGAAAGCAATACTCTGTAGGTGTTCGTGTTTGTGCTGTGTAGCTCTCTCCCGGTGTGTTTTTGATTTGTCCTGTGTGTTCAGCACCATGTCCTGAAGACATTTCCAGCGCATGGAGCAAAACGTCGGGCATTATGCCAAACAACATGTGTGGTACATATTCTTGGTTCTTTCGGTAAAGTCACGTAGAAGGGAAACAATAAAATAATTAAAATATAAAACAATAAAATTCTCACGTTTCGATTGCAACACAAGCAATCGTCATCAGGTGTGAAAACCACAGCAAGAACATTTTTAAAAAATGACTTTTTTAACGTTAGCACCACGGAGAGCGATTTGACAGTTTGTTCGGATGGACGAGTCCATCTATGTTCGGAAGAGGGAGAGACGAAAAATAATGGATGCGGTCTGAAAACACATTGTAAATCATCATCTTGGCCTTCCACAATTATTGTTCACCAGCAACGTGTCCATATCGTTGTCAATAATGATTTTTATACCATCAAAAGAACAGGTTCTGACAGTTTAACATGTTATTGAAGGATTCTGTTTAACCGACGTTCCTTGGACTCGCCCTTGTTCCCTGCAAAAACGTGACATAACATAGGTCTTGATTTAAGGCTTTCGTGACTGCAGGGATTCATATTCTTGGTTCTTTCGGTAAAGTCACGTGTTGCAGTCGAAACGTCGTGAGAATTTTATTGTTTTACATATTTTTATTATTTAATTGTTTCCCTTCTACGTGACTTTACCGAAAGAACCAAGAATATGAATATTACAGAGGTCATTTTGGTCCGAAGGCTTTATTTAAAGTAACAAAGTATGCTGCCTTGAGATTTCGCGATACATCTCACACATACCTTAGGACGCAATCTCGTTCGCCAATCTCGCCGCCAATCTCGCCGCCAGCGTCGCTCCATCTGCCGGCCATTGTCCCGTCTCTCGCCATTGTCCTGCCTAAAGCTCACCGCCGTTCTTAAATGCTGCACCGTTTTAACGTTTTGTTCCATTTTTTTTTGCCCAGTGTCCCCATGTTTTCCCCCGATTCGTATTTGTCGTCGCTGGCAGCGGAACCGTTCCCCCCCCCCGCTATACGGTGTTACGCTGTCAGATGTAATACTTATGGTTTCGTTTGAAGGCGAGCGGGGGGCTCACATGGTGTGATTGTCCCCGGGCCCCGTACCACCCACCGTCCGTCCCCCCACTCCCTTGCCACATGGAGAGCCATGGCTGGCATGAGTATGTAAGACTGAACCATTTCGTCGTTTTTGATCACAAAATTCCTTCAATGACGGCCTCTAGCTACGGATGCTGCTGTTTTCAAGTGATGCCCCCTTCGACGGTTTATTTCGGCCTTCGGCAAACTCATTCTCCGTTACTTTTGTTTTTTGCTCAAATGCATCTCAAGTCTTAACTGCAGTTTGGGGAGTTTTTTTTGGAGAAAAACCTCACCCCCCCCCCCCGCCCCGTGCGTTTGGGGATGTGTTCCCGAGTTTCGGATTAATGTGGAAAAATCTGTACATCGGTGCGCAGATGCAAACATTTTGGATGATCCAAGAACAACAAAAAATATTCCGATTGATTTCTGAAAATGTGACATCACTTCCACGTTTACGACGCCGTGTTGGTTATTTTGCCGGCAAAAATGCCGTCGCTTGGATTCAGTAACACAGCATGCGATGCCACTTCGGCTTAAATTGTTTAAAATAAATATATCAAAATGTTTACGTGGAAATTATTTATCTAACGATGGGAATTGACGTTTAAAATGCCAATGTCATTAACGTGTAACATTTCATTTATTGCTTAAATAATGAGGTTATAATTATTTTATTTAAAAAAATGTAATAGAATATTTTTTAGCAGGATCATCATTTTAGTTGTAATATCCCGTTTTCAATTGTGCCCAGGGGGTACATTAAAATGTTGAAACATACCAAATAAAATCCAAATTGAGCCACAGAATTTGAAAATGTTATTTCCCCCCCAAAAAATTATCTTAAACTCAAACTCCACTCTTCAGGTAAACTTGTCCATTGTGCAGGTGAGATCAGAAACCTATTTGCTATACTGCCACCATCTGGAAGTGCCATGGCCCATCTGACTGGAAGTTTGACACTGCACATGATCTCTGTGTGATCCACCAACACCACCTCCGAAAGACTGTATATTTTAAATCTTGACTTAAAAGCTTTCGTGACTGCAGGAATTCATATTCTTTGGGTCTTTCGGTAAAGTCACGTAGATAGGTTCAAAGAAAATAACAAAAAACTACGACCTTTCGATCGCAACAAGCGTTCGTCACGCGTTCATCACGCTTGTGTTGCGATCTAAACGTCGTAGTTTTTTGTTATATTTTTTTTATTCTTTTCTTTGAACCTATCGGCGTGATTTTACCGAAAGACCCAAAGAATACTGTTTTTTTGTTATTTGAAAGGCCTGAGACGCTGCGTTAAAATGACTGGCTTGCCTCGGTTGTTTCCATTTACAGTAAACAAAAAAGAACATTCACAAATCAAACCTGTGTTTTATATTTGTAATGTGCTATTATGTAATCTTTCTTGCTCAAGATTTCAGTCGGGATGTTAAGATCGGTGTACAGTTTTGGAATTAACAAACATGACCTCTTGCACCACCACAAATAGGCCGTATGCCATTAAGCTTCTTTTCAATGAATATAAAAAAACAATGTCACTTTCCCATATGTCTGTCTCTCCATGTAAAATATAAATCGGGTGTTTTTGTTGTTGTTGACACATGCTGTTAGGCGCACGTACTTCCTGGAGTACGTAATTTTAGCAGCATGTGGTTCAACACCGGGCAAACTCTGGACTGGTTTTGACATTCGGCGTCCCATCAGCAGGCAGGCTTGCTTGAACGAATGCGAAACGATATGATACGTAACGCACGAGATGCTATCGTAGCCGAAGCTGTTCATCTGACAATTGTGGAGAATGTAAATTTTGCGTATTTACTCTCCAACACACCGGTGTGCTGGACTAGTAACGAATTGCCATGTTCTGTTTACGTGACAAACCTTACTAATTGGCTGAGTCGGGTGGTAGTGGATTTAACGACACATATTTACATGATGTCACCCACAAAACAAACCTGT